AAGGTATGGCTTAGTCTGCAGGAAATGAATGCAAGGCATGAAAGCAAAGAAACCCAATGTGTGTGCGTGTGTGAGTTATTCGTCATTACACACAAATAACTCATAATTTCATCCATGGCCAATTAATAATGACCTTTTCTGAATCTCACCCTTAAAGGTTATTTTGCTGTCAGACAAACAGCCCACAGCTCTAGCCTCTTTTGCCGATACAATTACAATGTTTGCTATTACCATTTTTCACTTCAGTGTGCTATTTGGATTGCAGACTAGTGAAGCATTTGTTGGCAGATATCGCTCTCCTCCAGCCAGCACAGTCACACTGATGCAGACTGGCTCATATTGTGCTGCTGTGGTTCACAATAGCACTAGCTCACTGCACAGAGACCTTAATGACTCCACCATCTGAGGCTGATGTGTGGAGTATTACAGGGCCGTCAGCAGAAAGCCCGCGGTAAGAGCTATCTCAGCACAAACTCCACATGTATCCTCATCATCAGGTCTGCACCGCCCCACTCTCTCTCTGACTGCAGTGTGTTACAGTCTGGCTTTTTAAAGTGCGTATGACAGATTTTTATGATTCTCTAATTTTGACTTAATTTGGTAGGATTATAACTATTGTAAATGTAAATTGTAGTTTGACACCAATCAAGAAGCAAGTTGAAAAATGTGTTTGAAATTACAGGAAGTACAGTTCTAAACAAACTGATGACTCTAGGGAGAATTCTATCCAAACATTAACATATAACATACATTTTCCAAAAACATTCTTTTCTGATACTTTAAACATGACTTCATCAACATAAAGATGTTTTTCTCTATTTGTTTTCAATGATATGTTGAACTCCACCAGGGCTGCCCTTTGTCAGTGGTTCAGTCCATTGTATGTATTTAGTCTGGCAGTCCCTGCTTCGACTGCCTCTGAGACCTGGCCCTGGGAAAGCGGGAGAAAATGGATAGATGAATTGATCTTATATCTTGTATATCTATGTATTTCTCAGATAATAATTTCTGTGTACATTAGAGGGGTTTTGCTAGTAAACAGTTATGGAATTCCCTAGTGTGATGACACAATTTCCAATGAGGAAGTAAAATTTTAAACCAAAAAAATTAGCAAATTGGGAAAACAAGCATGAATGTTTTTGAAAACTTCTTCAGTGTTATGATCTTAATTGTACTTTTGTCATTGGCACTTTAAGTACTCAACACAAAGGCACAAATGCAACCCTCAGTATACTTGTATTCATATTCTGGGTTCAGTAGGTGTATCCAGATTATTTTTGGCATGCTGTTTTGGATGTGAGATGGAATTTAAACTTGGGAATAAAGGAGTGACGATGGTTGGTAGTGACTAGTACTGAGTACGCCTGTCATGATAATTACTATATTGGCTTATCATTCACGTCAGGACTATCTTAGCTGGAAGATTTTACCTACTGAGAATCTTTTAGGTTGATGGGACACTGGGGTGTCAAGGAAACCCACCCTGACATGAGTAGAAACATGCAAACTCCACACAGAAACACCTTGGAAGCAGACCCTCCATTACATGCTACATTTTACACACATACTCTAATTTACTTTTCTTAAGGTGCTTTAGCAGGTACTTAGATTATAATAACTGGATAAACACAATTACGTTATGCTTTAATTGACTTTAATTTCAAGAGTTAGTCAATACAATGCTTACTACTGCAAAATGCACTTGTCTGACATTAAAAGGAAGAAATGCACTAAAGCCGCTCATGCATAATATTATGCACAATGTGTGATGTAGTTGAAGACTGTAATATACAATATTAGGGGATTTTAATATAGCTGCAAATAGAAGTGGATAAGATTTTTGCCATTTTAAAGAAGTATCATGCAATATGACACCTCTTTACCAACTCCTGATAACAAGAGACCTCATTTATCAATATGTAGTAAACAGGTCGAAAGTCTATCATCACATTGACGTTATTACACTGCCTTTCCCCAAAGTGATCGCTCCCAAATTGCGTTTTCTGACATATTTGAAGGGTATTGTCCACATGTTTCACACCCGGTCATCTCCGTCAGACTTAGAGGTGATGACGGCTTGGGTGGCAGTATCACGCGCAATAACACATCACACACAATATGGAAGCTGCGCATTTAATCTGTCCAGCTGCCATTCTGTCAATTGGCTGTGAACTGAGAGGCCAAGCAATTTACTCCCCACAAAGGCTTTTCGGAGCACTTTGCACTGTGTATGTGTGAGAGACTTGGAGACAGGGGGATTAGATGCTATATGTGTAGGATAAAAGCCCCTGCCTGAATGATGAGATGAGAGGAACGGGAGAGATGGAATAGGTGAGCTGTCCGACTTCTTAAGTGGCATTACTTCTAGCTCCCAGGTTCTGTAAAGCCAGTTCAAAAGACCCACAATGTGTTTCTGTGCTGGCCAGGACACATGCATTACTGCTGTCACAAAGCTTTTTACCAAGGCATTCACTGCAGCCTGGTTTGCCTGAAACAAAATACAGGTAAAAAAGATAGGGCAGCTTTTTACCAGTAGTTCATCATACAGTGGTGGGGTAAACACAGAGGATAAATCATAAAGGATTGATCATAAAAAAGAATGTATTCTTGTCCAAGAAATCAAAGTGGTACATGATCATGCCACTGGCACGGTCTCTTTTGTTTGTGGGCATATTATTTCTTAACTTGACTAACCAGACTGTGAGGTAAATACAGCCTGCTGGGCCCTTTCACCACCTTCACCTTCTCCTTGTGCACCTCTCAGTGTATCCTGCTGCTCCCAGCACACATTCAATCAGCCCCAACAAGATCCATCATGAGCAGGGCACAGGTCAAACTGTGGCTCAGCCCTGTCCCTCCACCAGAGTGACTGGAGCAAACATGGGAGCCAGCTTTTATCTAAAGATCATCTTCAAGGACTGTGCAGGACACACTTACCCATAATATTCTACTTACTATGACAGAAATTGCTACTAGCCAAACTACTGTAATAAACAACTGGGGTGTTTATTTATGGAAAAAGCACCAGTGTCATATCTGTGGTAATCTACATCAAGAATTCATATAAGAATACATCAAGAATACATATAATACTATGACATTTAATTAACATTCTGATGATCACCTAGGCCTACACAATTCAACAAATTAACCACTGGCATAAAATACTATAGTATATTAGGCCTACAGCAAGCACATGTTTTAGTAAAATATAGGCCTAAAAGCCATTGAAATAAATGAAAGAATTAATAACACATTAATATAGATCAATTATGTTTTTGCACAAGAGAAATAGGCTCATCTAAGATAACCAGCACCTTTATTGATGCACCTCCAATCCAAGTAATCTTTTCCAGAGGCAAAAAGTAGACACACAGCATAGGCCTGTGATGAAACACATCCTCAGGAATGTACTGTAGAGCAACACAACAAGCTCCATCCAGCCCTCTGCACTCCGCCACCTGAGGCATTAAGTACGGGCGCAAACAGCTGTCTCCGTGCGCTGACAGGCCGGGACCGACCAGAATAGCATGGCACCTCAGCCTTAGTATGTGGCCACTCGACTAAAGAGCAGGCTGGCATGTGGCATAGCCTACTGTAAGTCCAGTGATACGACAAAAGGCAGCGGCTCACTGGCAACACCCATGACGCGCTGCCCACAGCTGCTCCTTGTCTAAACCAAATCCTCTCAAGTGCGCTGTGGTAACAAGACGGAGTTGTGAAAGTTGGCATCCTGTGCCAAGTGTGTGGGTCTGGACTGGGTGTGTAGCAGACGGAGGATCTGTATTACGCGCAGGCTTATCCTTACTGTACTGACTGTATGCGTAAAGAGTTAACATGCACAATACGTCTAAAGGGGCCCTTGAGCAGGCACACTATTTGTTTAGCCTCAGGGTGGGAATACTCACGGGGACAGACATTTTGCAGCTCCTTCCCGCTGCTCCTGCCAAACCAGCGCTGATTTTCCCTTGACAGATACTGTAGCGTATTGGTTATCGACTCCCCTCTGCACGGCACTCCCGTTGTCAGTCCGTTGTCCTCCACGCCATGCTTACGCTGTAAAAGAGTAGGCAGACATGCGGTAGTAAGGGAGCTTTCCTCCGGCTCTGCAGTGTGTGGAAAGGCCGGTGGCTGGTTCCTCCCGCCTCCGCCTCGTCTGCTCCTCCGCTCCGTCGCTCCTCCTTTTGATTTCGTCAGAAAATTGTTCTTCGACTTTTTATCAAAGCCCTAACAAATGCATTTAAAGAGGGATTGGTTTTGCCACTAAACCCGGTCGCTGTCTCGGCTGTTATTGCCCCACTGTCTGAGTAAAGATCTTTCCAACAGGAGCCGCTTTGGTACTGGACTGACTACCGCCGTCCTCCCCAGGCATCAGCCCGCCCTTAAAGGGACCCTCTCGGCATTCCTAATGCTGACCATAGACCGTGTGTTGACAGCACACAGTTCAATCAGAGAGCCACTTGAAGCCGCGTTTTAAAGGTGCAATACACCGCATAGGACCAATCTTCACATAAGAATGCACGCTTTGTAATGAGCCTGAGAGGTTCAGGAAGATCAGGGAACTGAGGGAGATGCAAATCCTGTGATCATGTCAATCAGGGCTATATATAATGAAACCCAGAAAAATCAAATGCAGAAAAGCAACCTAAACTAAATAATCCTTGTTTAGAGATAGTCATACAGATATAATAAAGTCTGAATAATCATGAAGTCAATTACTAAGAGATAAGCACTGAATTAAATCATAAAAAACATTAAAAACACAAATAAATAGTTAATTTATTTCACCACTAATAACCTTAGGTTTAGTTCTGTTTGGATCAGAAATGTCTGTAAAGTCTATGTGACATATTTTTGAGCTACTAATGAATATTTTTCTTTTTGTCTACTCTAAACGAGACCCCTTAAAGTTTGAACTACAGCACTATAATATAAAACATATAATAAAGCCTTTTCAATGCTGCACTGGCTTCAAAAGCTGCAACAAAACATTCATGTCATGATCATACAAACTGTTTTAATCCAACTGTATCACATGATTAGCCAATAATCAAAGATATTTAACATTTATGCTGAGGGCAAACTAGGTTGTACAACTGCATCCAGTATATCAAAATGAAGAGCACTGTGCATTTGACAAAGAAACAGGCTAACTCATACTTTGACAATGTCAACCAAATAAACACAAATCTAGTGTGGTTTGCCCTTTGTACAGTGTAGTTAAAAGATGTGACAAAAATGTTCAAATCCTCCACACAGCAGCTGAGTGCCTCATAGGGGACAGCAAAAATCCAGAAGTTACAAAATGAGAGAAATCGTCCCCTCCTCTAATCTGCTGATGTCCGTCTGTGTCATCGCTTCATGTTGCTTAGACGAACTGTTTTTTCTATCTCAAACTGTCGGTGGTCAACGCGCTCCAAGAAGTTCTTTCGCTCCACATACCTACATGAGAAACAAACACAGGCCCAGTATTAGAGAGATTTTAGTTATTATAGCATTTATATATGCTCCAAAAACTACAGAGGAACACATCAAGAAAGCTGGGCTTTATATTCACTTCATTACTCCTCACGTATACATGATAACATTATGTATGGAATAATGAAAAGGAACAAAACTTCAGTGGCATTCCTAGTCCCCAGTTTTAACAGCAGATGTTGATATGCCCTTTCCTTTCATCTTATACCGTTTACACCATCAGGACCCAGTGAAAACCCAGTGTTTATGAGAATGTCAGAATTGCAACCACCATGAAATTGAATTATTTTTTCCTTAGTCTTGAGACGGTGAATTTAAACACATTTTTAAATCGTTAAATAAAAGATTGTGGGTTCTTATTGTGGTTTTCTTCACCTTAACTATTAAATCTTAAAGTTATAGGAAACTGCATGTTAAAAGTGATGGACTATGAGCATGTATAAATTGCATGTGGAGCACTGAATGACAATGAAGCCAACAGGCTGGTGTTATTTCCCCTGGGCAACCCCTTTCCCATCTGTTCATGCCTTTTTCACAACAGTCCTTATATTCACAGAGCTGAATGTGAATTATGCATTTTCCTCCCTGAATATTTAGGGGTCATCAGTTTCAGACGGTAGTACTTGTATTAAATGTTTCACTGGTTGGTGTCTTACCCCTCCCGGCCTCTGTTGTGGATGGCCAGCTCTTCACTGATGCCTTCCTCCGTTTTGAACGCGTCCCAATCCATTTTAGACTTCTCTAGAGTACTCATCTTCTGCTTCTTCCCTCCAATACGACCAAGAATTCCAGTTAAACCCGGTGGCCTCTTCCCTCCACTGAAGAAAACACATACATAACCATTAGAGGAAAAGGTTATTCCACTCCAGTTTTACCAATAAGATGTCATTGTAATAAACTGCATTTTTAATATGTAAATGATTTCTGTTCAGGAGTGTAGTGCCATGGCATTTATTGTCTTGATTATGAATTATAGACTACAATATTTAGTGTTATAAAAACGCATTTGTTAATGCATCGGAACAATATAAGCACTTCCCTTTATTAAAATAGTTCTGACGTTTAACAGTCCTACAATGACTAAAAGTGCTTTTTAGGTAAATTTTGGAGAAGTGACATTCCCACAAAGGTCTTAAATCCCTGATGCTCCAATGGCACTTATGTAAAAATGTGTTTTATTTTTAGACTCTTGTATTTGTGTATGCTGACCTGTGTCACTCTATAACCCTGGGCCTTCCTCTGTGTCACATTCAATACATAACAAACTCCCACATCAGAAGAAGACATTTTTAAGGGTCATTTGTTAGTACTTCATAGTGCTGTTGTGCTCCCTCTTTACTACGGTTTAGAGATGGGAAAGATTGACGCTGATAAAAGTGCACAGCGTTATCTCCTGCGCGGACAACTCCCTTTCAGCCTCTCACTCTGTCCATTGTGATGAATAGGAAATGGCTTGTGGACGTACTGTGCTTCCTGTCTGAGGGAAGATGACTTCCTTTATCCTGTTCAGGGATTTTGAGGCCAGATATGCACATTCTTCAACTATTTGCTGTCACAAGAATAGAACATACACGCACGACATAGAGAGAAAACCACACTTCCTTCACAGTGTTGGGATTCCTGACATGTTTACACCATATTGTCATCTTATTTGCGGAAGAGTGACATATTAAAGGAACTGTAGGTTGAATAAACAAAGTAAGGAAAATTAAATATAATAACTCAAATAAATGAATAATTCTAATTTGAAACTTTTGATAATTTTTTTTTTGTTCCCAGGTGCTTTTATGTGTGTACCTTGATGCAGCGGCAGAAGACGGACATGGTAAAGAGCTCTCTTCCTCTTTTTCTTTGTTCTCCTGTGCAGAGCTCTGACTTTTTAAGAAACTCTTGGCTTCTCGGGAGTCTGCTGCCACCTCTTTGTTTACCCTGTAAAACACACACAAGATATCTTGTATCTTGAGTCTTATAATTGAATAAACACATTCACAAAGATTATTATTGGTAGAAACAACCATACAATTATTAGCAATAATTATAAGAATCCTTTCTTTGTCAGCGTACCACCACAATTCATTCATTTGGAAATTACTTTGGCAATATTAAGAACCAGGCTCATCTACTCCAGGGACAAGTATAAAAGCATTAATTGTAAATCTTAAGGAAGTCTTACTGGTGGCCTTAATCATAACAGAAAATTGGACTGCTGTAAGAAACCGTTGGTGTGGTGGTCACATAGAATGAGGCTTTGAGAAATAATAGTTGTATCCTTTGGGAAAAGAGCTCTTTACTGGTGGCATCTATCATAGCACTACTCAGAGTCTGTCCCTGTTATCTGTGCTAATTATATTCTGCCATAATTACTGCATGGATGATGAGATGGTGAGTGTATTTTAAAAGGGCAAGTGTGGTTTTAAAGATGCATATCTCACAGACCAAGAATATTACAGACCATTTAAAATTAGGATCTTCCGGAAGGCTTTTTGTTTCTGCAGCCAATGAAATTTCAGAGAGACAGTGAATAGGATTGGTTTGTGGACAAAATCCTAAAAAGCCACACATCACATATCATATCATTGCATATCGCACCACGTAACATTTATAATTTCATACTGACGAACAGAGGAAGCCACATATATGTAGATGTTTGTGTAGACTTAGTGGTTCATGTGTGCAGAATCATGTGTGGGTTTGAAAACATCCTACACATTCAGCTTCAACCAATGTCAAGAGACTCACTCATCACTACAGCACCCCCACTTAAGCCACTGTTTCACTCAGGAATTAGTGACAACAAGGCACCAATAGTCATTCTTCTACCATGAAATATATCGTTCATGCATCCTCAAACTCAGGTTTTTAGGATAAATAATATTTACGCAACCCATCCGTTTTACAATAAGTTTAGACCATAGTTCCCATTACCTATGCTTTTAGAGGCCAGCCACAGAAGAATCTGCCTTTATTTCTACACAGTACATTATGTGGAACATATCCGAACAGATTCAGATCCATTTTAAATAAAAAAAAAAAGTATGCTATTTAACAAACCTCAATGGCATTTTACAGTGAAAAACCAAACATCCACATAAAGGAATCATATTTTTACCTAATAATAAAAATTAGCATAATTACACTATCTATACCTCATGTTTAGCACATTTTAGATGCCAGTATGCCACATTAATATTATACGTTTTATTTATGAACACAACCCAACTATTCAAAAAGAGTAATTGGTTTGTGGCTCCACCTACTGGATCTACTGAAGTGATGCAATGTATTATTGCAAGTGGCTAAACACTAATGATTAGTATGTAAAATGTGTTACCTGACTTCTTCTCCGGCAAAGTCAAACACTTTTGTAATGGTCATTTTTGCAGGTTCAGAAGGTTTTGTGTCTACTTTTGGAGAAGCTGTTTTGACAGTGGAAGACTGTGTTTCCCCCTTAAAAAATAGAAAAATAGCTAAGAATACAATTGACTTTGAAGACAACACAAATATGGGACAGGGCAGCAAATGGAAAATGTTGGTGATATATTACATTTTATTTTATCATATTTATTGTGTGGTATTTTTGTCTTTTTAATTCAATCATTATTAAACCTGGGAGACCTTATAAGAGACTCTTAATTGGTATAAACCTCGCAAAACTGTGGTTAAAAATAAGCAATACTAAAATTAATTCCAGCTGTAATTTTGCAGTTTGAACATAATACCTTGGATGTGGTATCGGAGTCTGTGGCCGCTGTGCTCGGCTTTGGCCTAGAACCGACATCACATAGAAAACTGGCCCATAGGTCATCTGACTTTTTCTTTTGTTTTGCCTCATCTTCCTCTTGCGTCAGCTGAGCGGGTGTCTCTTCATTTGGAGGCTGATCAGTCTCTTCAACTTTATCTTTGTCTTCTGCATTTTCCACTTTAAAAATTCCCTTTTTCCTCTTTCGGCTGTGTGGTCACAAGAGCCATAGGACATGACTTAGAAGCAGTAACAATCCATACTATGGCAGTAGCACATACAGTTGAATCACATAATAACATATAAGATATAATTATACTTGATACTGTTACAACATTATAGTGTGCAAAGACAGAGTTCACTAACCTCATTGTCTTGTCCTTCTTTTTCTTTTTGCTCTTGTGAACACCAGGATGTGGCACCTCGTCATCCTCATGCAGAGGATCCTCTTTTTCACACTCATTTATGTCATCTTCACTAAGGCTTCCATCTAAAATGAAATACAGAAAAAATATATGAAATTTCTGATGGTGTGTCTTGATGACTCTTGATTATATTTAACAATTTGTGAACTGTATTACTTTTATATTTATTGTATACACGAATTCTGACAAGTACAAAGAAACAAGTAGTGAAATATCGAATCCAAAAACACTAATTCCACTATTATTAGTTTTACAAATGTATGCGTGGTCCCCAATCAATTTCACAAACAAATGCAGAATATTGCTACCTTGGTAAACTCCATAATGGCATTGCAACACAATAAAACAATAAAATAGTATTAGCCCATTCAAAACAGTCTACACACAATCACCCCCACACAGGTATGTTCAGCTAATAGCTACTAAAAACATTGCACCTGAAGGGACGTAATCTGCGTCTTCGTTGGACGAGTACCCGTCAGAGTCGTAGTCGGAGTAGTTCATATTTTTACTGGTTTATTTTAATATCTGTTAAATAACTTGAATAGTTTGACGGGGCTCAAAAATGTGTATCGCAGGATGCTATTCTTCTGCGAGGATATGGACCGGAAGTCTCCTCTGGATTGTTTTGTGAAAGTTCCCTCATGTCGCATCATTGCCCTCTAGCGGCCGCTCGTTGCACATTCAGCCTGATTTTAAAAGTCAGGTAAATAACAATCACCACAACTGATAGTTATTTTAATTTACTCTTGCAATATGTGCGCATTATTTTTTTTTTACTTGCTTGATATTTTAAAATCTTAATTAAATCTACATTAAGTTGTACTGTAGCATTTGTAGCCGACATATTTGTTCATTAGCCTGCAAACAAGCTAGTTTGTTTACTGCTCATAGACTATTTATTTCATTTTTATACAGTTATACAGTTTATACTTCTCTATAAATGGTATAAGTGTAATGATCAACGAGATATAATGATTTTCCTGTTACATACTCTAACTTGGTCCCTTTGTTATCTGTATATATAAGTATATTATCGTTTTAATCTGCATACATTTTCTTGGTGTTGTTTGTGGGCTCCATTAGAACAGTGTAATTATTACTGCTTGTGTATTCCACAGAACATTAATTGCTTTTAATGCTGTCACACTTCTTCAGAGAAAGGCTCTTTTAATCATCCAAACTGTTGCACTCAATGATTACCTGCTTTTTACACACAGTAATTTACAGAGGGGAAAACAATTGCACTGACTGAGCCACTTTACAAACAAAATTACACTGCTTTATACAGACTGAAATGTGAACTGATATGCAAGAATCTCTTGCATTTTAGAACATGCTTGTACAGGGACAACAAGATTTATCAATAACTTAAAAATTTGATTTAGATTTTATTGCGAGATATTATATAGCCCTACTGAACAAGGATGAGTAGATGATTTTTGATACCAGAAGCTAAAAAATAGGGTAATGACACATCTAAGGAGACACTGTGAGTACTTAAATTGTTTGTGAGTCACAGCGTGTAATGATCGTACATAACAAAAAATTACTGGTTGTGATCAAGCAGCAATCAAATTAACTTAAAAAATAAGTCAAAATGACAAAATTATGGGGATTGTGTCCATGTTATGGGAAAGTGACCACCCATTTTCTGTAGCAGGTTTTCCAGATGTCCAACAACAGCCCAAGTACAGGTTTGAGGAGAAGAGCTCCCCCACTGCTCCTAAAGATCACAAGAAGCATGGCCACGCTGACACAAAGAGACAGCCATTATGGTACGTCTTCCTAAATAACAGATAATTGTCATCACTGTGTAATGTGTTCAGATAGCAGCCGTACAATTCCATTTGAAGATGAGCTAAATTGCCAATGATTAAGTGTAATTTGCACATATTATTAAAAAGACCATAGGAAAGGACATATAATTGGCTCCTACTGTAGAGAATGAGATCAACACAGCAAAACTGCACAATTAGGTGATGTTTCTGTGATTATCTGATAACTGATTCTATTGATCTGTGTCTAGATTAGGCATTAAGTATGATTGATAACGTTGCACTTTGTCTTAGGTGAGGATAGACCAATCATGTTCTGATTCTTTGTTTTTAAATACACCTATATCTATATGTATAAATTCTTCATCCATCTTCTTCCGCTTATCCAGGGATGGTCGTGAGGGCAGCAGTCTTAGCAGGGACCCCCAGACTTTCCTCACCGTGGATACTTTGTCCAGCCCCTTCTGTTGCTGATTTGTGGGTGACTGGAGGTCAGACACAGGTAATGTAAAACCATCCAACTACATACTCCTGACCAGAAGAGCAGTTCAAAATTAAGGGTCAGTTGCTCCTAGCAGGTTTCCAAGGTGATAAGGTAATATCACCACAGGGAAATATGTCCTCTGCATTTGACCCATGATCTTTGTGCATGTTTTAGATTGATAGAACAGCCGGAGTGGAAATTTCTCACCCGGACACAGAATGCCCTTCTGACCTTACTGTCAAGTGAGAACGTTAGACAGACACATGGGTCAAATGCACAGACTGTCCTACAAAAGTCTACCCTAACCCTACCTTGGGACTGACAGAGACAGTGCTGCGACAGATTTAAGGAGGTAAAACTTGTTCAGTCCTGTCCTGATGTGTCCTTTATTCGTTCAACACTAATAAGCTGTTCACCTGAAATCTTTGTGGGGCTTTTCGTGTGGGCCTTTGTGTGCGCCTGCAGGAGCCTTCAGATCAGCCCTGAGTCTGAAATGAGAACAAGACAGAAGATCTCAGCCTTTCTAAATGCAAATGTGTGCGACTGAATCCTGGTGACGGGGCGACAGGAAGCACAGGGAAAGTAATTGAACGGACCACTGTGGCTCCATCCCTCAATGAATGCATCAACAATGAAACAGCAGGCATTTTAATTTTACACATGTACCCATAGTTTACATACATTGCCATTCTTAAAATATGCTTTATGTAACATACTGGTCTCTATGCCAACTGACCGATAATGTCATCTTCACTGACGAAGTCTCAGCACACGGTGACATCAATGAAACTGGGTCTATCAGGACAATAACAGGACAATCACAGTGTACAGAAAATCTCTTAAAATCCAATATACCAATGTGCGTATTTTGCAGACCTACTTCCTGATGTCATCTTAATTTTGTACAATTACTTAGGTACAGGCATAACAAGGGCTTATTTGTTCAAGTGGCTCTTCAGTGAAAAGTGGGCCTCTACTACCTCCACTGTTACAAGGCACTCATGAGATAGCAACACTTGCATACTCAATAGCTTTACCCTTTTAAGTATATTAGTACACCTTACTGCTAACACTTTTTTTTTGACAGTTTTTCTATACTGTAGTTGTTTTTACTTATTTTTCATATATTGCGTAACCTTCAGCATCTTCAAATATTAGCAATAATGTGGAGATGGGAGGTACATAGAAAAAAGATAATGCTTTTGAAGAAAAAAGTATATACATATAAACATATAAACTACATACATTTAAATTATTGTCATTTAATAAAATAATTGTAGAGCATTGACTGTAGACCAGTTGATTGAAAAACCCCAACCTTACCATTTAGACAATTAGATATGACTGAATCTTGAGTAAAATGAATGTGATTGATTTCCCAGCCTATGGGACCTTCACTCTGTAAAAGAGAATTGGACTTTGTTGTGTGAGTCATTTCCTTTTTGTCCCATTGCCTATCAGCCCAGTGTAATGTCTCTGTGGTCTTCTCCATCTGTCCTGTCCCAGCACGAGTCCTGCTCCTCCTCAGATCATCAGTGCTCTCCCGCAGAGAAGCCTTTGAATCCAAGGACAGCACGTCATCTCATGAAACTACACTTTTTCAACTAAGTAAGGAACTGAAAATAAGTGCGATGTGCCCATTGTAAAAAATATTTAATACGAATATTTTGTATTGATAATCACGTAAAGTTGAAAGTAAAGAATGCTGTGACATAAAAGTGTACAATAGACAGCTGCTGATACTACAACATAATATCTAGTATATAGGGATGTCAAGATTATTTGTTTATTTAAGTCACAATATAATTGCAAGCCCTAAAAGTATAAAGAATGGTAATTTTAGAAGCCAAAATAAGTCATTTCAACTCAGCCTGATATTCAAAAAAATAAACATAAATGTACAGTTTTATGTGACTGTTTATGTCACATAAAACTTTATTAATCGGAGAAAGTTTGATTTTATAAATATAGTCCCATAGCAGAATGAAGTAGAACAAAATTTTAAATTTTAATTTAAATTTTGTTTGCTCATGGTGTTGTGGATCGTCAATAATCTAGCACGTTACTTATAAGGCCCATATCACACTATTTTCTGATCTATCTTATAATGTAGTTTCCTTATCAAAAACTTACCCTGTTTTGTTTCATTCACACATATTTATCGCACAAATCCTGTAAATTTAGGCTGAGTTCTTTTCTCAAACAGAAAACATTCTTTTCCACCCAGTGATGCCATATCATGAGGAAGTGCTCCACTGAGTTTTAAAGGCTGTACACCTTCACAAGAATAATTTGAATAATTACAGGCCTGGAATTTCCCATCTCAATGTAACAAAAGGTAAAGGGGAGCTGCTTACTTAAAAAACTACAACTACATGACTTCACAAGGTGGAACAGAGCATTTTGGCAATGCAGACAGACTAATAATAAAGAATTACACAAACATGTATGAATGAAATGAAACACAACTCTAGGTGTGTTTTTGATGATTTTAACATGGCTTAAACCTCGGAAGAATCAATTTTGTGCAATATAGAAGCTTTAATTAAAGAGAACGTGTGTAGTACTCGGCAATAAAACTGTTACAATGAAACTCCAATGCCAGTGTTTTTCTAGAAATACATGGGACCAGACTATTTTAAAAATTAATTCTCAATTTAGACAGCCGTGGTTAAATAAAAAACAAGCAGATAAATGGCCTTTGCTGCTTCTGCTACTACTTCTACTACTATTAAACCAACCAAAAATGTACATACACATGTATTATCGGAAGTGTACCTAATTTCTTAGAACTGGGCATCTGCCACTGATCAGAGTATGATAGATTGCTTTCTTCCAGCATGCCTTGAGTAAATCTTGAGGAAGATAAACCTCTCACCCACAGTGTAAGGCCAAGAAGAAATAAATTTAGTTGTTGTAAGCAGTTTATAGTGCTGCAAACTATTTATATCTGTCTTTGTAACTGGATTTAAAGGCATGCTGTGGTCTGTACTGACAGGACAATGAGGCAAACCAGAGCAGGAAGATGGCCTCCAACGGTCCTGTGGTCCGTCAATCCCACCATACGTCTCCTCTCCTAACAAAAAACCGCTATACAAACATACTTTTTTTATAATTTTAATGTGTTTGTATGCTGGACAAACAAACTTTATTTAAACTTCATTGTCCTGCCATTAGAGAAGTGAGCAAAGATATAATGTTGTAATACAATGCAGATAGAAGCAACTAAACTTAATAATATGTATAACTACGGGTCAAAAGTTTGGAAGCACATTCATTTTCATTGTTTTTTTTTTCTTTATGTGTACTACTTTCTCTGTTTTAAATATGCACAGTAAACATCAAATTTATGATGCAAGATATATAGGAATATGTAATTAAGCAAAAATAAATATCTAATCTAATTCAAATCCTCACAGTATTCACCTTTGCTTTGTTGACAACAAAAAACCCTTGGCACTTCACAGGTGTGTCATGTCAGGGTCAAGAAATGCCAAAAGTGTGAAGCAAAGGATCACTTTTAAAATTCTAAAACATTTTTTGAGTTATTTTGAGTTTATTTTTTGTTTGTTAGATACCATTTGTTTTCATTCACAGTTTGATGCAGTTTCTGAGAATCTACAATGTAAATAATCATAGAAATAAAGAAGAGACATAAGTGCAAAAGTGTGTGCAAACATTTGACTGGTCCTGTATATATCGTTAAACTAAGGGTAAACTGTGGCTTTTTCTTAATTAGTATTTATATATTTTACAAATTATTTAACAAAATACTGTATCTTCTCCAACTGTCTTTTGTCTGGCGAAGAACAACCATTAGCAATAACAGTAAACTGATGACTGTAGTTCTGAAGTACAAATTACTAAAAAGTGTCAAAGACAATATTAAAAGGTTTTCATTCCAATTCTAAAAGTTAATTATTTTTATTATGTTATTTTTGTCAGACATCCAGCTGTTGCCCTGTACTATGATGGTGCCTCCATTAGGGCTGTTTGGGTAATTGTGTCAGTACCAGGTCCACTGCCAGGAAACCTCGCACAGGTCAGAACAGGAGCGCTGCGTGTGCTCTCACCACGAAGTAGAGATCAGGGCATGGAATTGATGTCACACTTTTTTATTACAGAAAAGATTTGCCCTTTGGTTACACTTACTGTTCTAAAGACACTAATAACCATTTTCTAAATTAGAGTAATATTCAACCAAATTACTTTACTCAAGGCTGTGATGCCAAATGAACGTAGTAAAGGGACAATTAATATTCTAATGGAATTACAGAATTTGTAGAACCTCATGAGTTGAGTTTGAATTATCTTTAGAAACAACAATGTAGTAGGGCTGTAGTCCACTAAAGAAATTCCTGGTTGACTAAATTCATGTCCTGCTGATCAGTTTGTAGACTGAAATAGGACGTGACAAAACCTCTCAAAACTATTATGTATCTCTATGTATCTGACCCTAACTGCACTCACAGCACTATAACGGCAAAGGAGTTCTTGCAAAAAGAAATATTGTATATCAGTGTATTTATATAAAGCCAGTTCAATCTGCCTTTTTACATGAATACCAAAAAATACTAAAATCTTGAGCTAAATTACTCACTATCTTCTCCATTTTGCTATTGTCCCATATAAATACATATATCTAAATAAAATGATTAGTCGACTAATACTGTACAAATTTTGGTTGACTAAGACACTATCAACCAATATATCAACTAAATTACTAAAGGACTACAGCCCTATAATGTAACTGCTATAGTTTACACTCACAGGTCAGGTGTCTGTGGCCCATGTAACTCTTGGTTACCCTGTTTGTGTCTCTGTATCGAAGTGCAACATACAAACAATACATACAAGCTTTTGCTTAACACGACAATGTCTTCAACTGCTGAAACAAATAATTGAATCCCAACTTAAAATTGTGCCTTTCCTGTTTTGATATTGAGGAGCTTGTGCATATTTTCATTTGAGGTGATGTGAAAGCCATTTTGTACCTACAGGTGCTTTTTAGGGTGTTTTATTTTATGGTTTGCTCTGTAATTGCAATGACTCCATTACATTTTTCAGTCACAGCCAATTAAAACCATCTCCAAAATTTGTCCAAGGTAAACTCTAATTCAGTCTAATCTAATCTGATCTAATGGCCTGTCTGAGGTGATGACCTCATGTCCTTAAGCAGCTACCAAGTAATTGGCTGGAGAAATTCATGATTAGAGATACATTTTAGTGAAATTATTATTGATGAATCAAATTATTTTGATAATTATAAAAAGTATCTCATTTGACTCAGTTTGGCACAAACTTAATGAAATTGCCTTATGTGGAAAAAAAAGGTTAAGGTATATTTTATTGTTCCGTAGGGAAATTTGTCCACTACCTTTGTTCCTGACTTAAAGACCTTGTTACGTGTAGCATAGCCAGGGTCTGTTCTGCATATATGAAATGAACCATTTTGAGTCCCCAGATCACATTAGGGCAGAGGAACAGTTTTTTGATACTCTACAGTGTGGCGCCGCTGAGGACAAAGAGAAACGGCAGTGATGACATGAAGTGATGTTGTTGAGAGTCTTTGTGCTGAGTGTTCGTGACCTGCCCCTCCTGTGCCCCTCCTGTGAGTTGGGAGGGGCTGCTGACGCCGGCCGGCTCTGGATATGCCCATCATCTCTATAAAAGACACTGGGGTCTCCTACACCAACAAATCTCATCTGCACAAGCCACTCCAGACCCCAGAGCACAGAGAAGACCTAGTCCTCATAAAGGTGAGTGCCTCTGTATGCTGCCATACAAGATATTTCTATCTCTGTATATGTTTTCTAGCCGTATGTAACTCAACTTATGTTTGTTCTGTTTTGTAGATGCAGAAGTGCTTTGGCTTGTTCTGTGTGTCACTCATCTTCTGTGCTACCCTCTCAGAGACCATCGGCCTGGTGATAGCGGTAAGACCAACTTAGAAGCCTGATCATAAAGTTGTATATCTTGTTGGAAACTGATATTTACTAATGTGTTAATGTTGAATTACTGACCACAACAAGGACAAAAACAAAAAACATATAAAGAAATGTGCAGATCAGCAAACACATCAAACTACTGTTATGTTTTTAACAGATGAAAATTATTGTTACCAGATACCATATCATAGTTTGTTTTTTCTTGCCTTAATAGAATAAGAATAGAGTCTTTCACACTCTTGTAGTCCTTGAACAACATTAAACAAACCTAATGTATTAACTGTGCCTGTCCTATAGGCGAAAGAGAAGCGTGGCTGGACTCTGAACAGTGCTGGTTACCTGTTGGGGCCCCGTAAGTACTGACTGCACACTTTACATGAAACACCGTGCTACAGCTCTGAAGACATGGTGGACCTATAAAATACTGGACAGTTATATTTTATACAGGATTGGGCATTATGTCCTTTTCCCTCTATAATCATGTCTGCTCTGTTGTAGAAGAGTGTGGACAGTTAGGCACTTCTTAGTTTGGAGAGGTCCAAAAATCTTAACATCTTTAGACTGCTCTATGACAATCCATTTGCACTTTAGTATTACATTAACTTCTTTTCCTATTTTTGCTTGTTTATTTAAATAATAGAAATATCAAAATGGAACTGATTGCAGATCTAACCTGACAATTCTCATTCAAGAAGCAGTTTAAACTGGTAAGAGTTGTATGAATCGTATATTCCATCTTCAGCAACTGACCACTTAGAAAACTGCCTGTGCAATGGCTGATAAAGCAGAATTTAAAACCTTTATACCAAATTAAGTTAGTTTGAAAAGGTTTTATATGTTTCAGGGAGAGGGGACTTCTGAATAATACAAGCTGTGATAATTGTACAACTAATTTTCTCTCATTGAGCCCTAATAACCCTAAGATGCTGAATCTTAATAGCATGTGGTCACATTATGTGTGTTGCTTCTTTGTGACCTGACTATGTGTCCTGAGATGATGACCTGCTCTTTTAGAAATCAGAATTCTGTATCCACTATGCAGGCTAATTTAGTGTAATTTGAGGAATGGCCTTCTTTGCCACAGTGTAGAGCATACAAATAGAGAGCGGACAGTTAGCTGTGAATAGGCCGTGGACATGGAGTCAGGAAATGTTCCCTTTGTGTGAGTGTGTGTAAAGCCCAGGTAAAGGTTGCTCCTGCCTCATCCTGTGTTTCAGGTCGTATTGATCACCTAATTCAGATAAAGGATTCTCCCAGTGCCAGAGGCAGAGAAGAGCTGGTCACTCAATGTAAGATAGAAACAGACGGCCACTGCAGGGCCTTGGTCCGGCCAGGAATTGTTCTGCCTCACTGTCCTCACCTCAGTTAGCTGCTTCTGTCGCTAAACATGCCTCCAGAATCATGCATCTTTGTGTCAGGCAGGGATAGAGGACTTCATAACTAATACAATATGGAATAAATATACTATCGCAACAGTCAAATCTCACTTAAGATTCCTGCAACAAAATGGACACAGAAGTGAAAACAAATCACAGTTGCTCTAAGTGGTTCTGGTTTCTCCCATTTATTACATTTTTGTTTTCTTTTTATATTAATTTGAGCTGCCACTGTTTGCAGCTAAGTAAGTACAGTAATATAAGGACTTGTTCTCCCTTTCCATGGTGATAATGGACAGTGCCAGGTATGTTGTAGCTACAAACAATTGAGAGGTAAGATCCAGTAGTATTTTATCTAAAGAGGACCCAGGGTCAGACCACTTAACCGCTGGATAAGACCAGTCAAGAGAATGATATAAAAAGAATAATGGATCATGTCTTAAATAGGATGACTTCTCTCTTCTGATTACACTTATGATATCATTTTATATAAAAGAAAATGTACAATTTGGTTTACTTTGGACAGAATGGACAGAAACATATGACAGGTTCTACAAAAGTAAGACAGTATTAATCAGGGAATGCAGATGGAAACTAGATAATCTAGCCATAATCTGAGGCAGAACTTTTTTTTTTTATGATCTTAATGTCTCTAAAACTAAATTGTAACAGCTAAACTAAATTGTAAGAGCTAAAATAGAGTAATGTATGTAGAAATGCTGACAAAAACAGGGGTTTACTTGATAAAATTAATATCATTGTTACATTTTATGCAATGAAATATATTTGTTTCCATAGTGACAATGCACAGCTAAGACGTGGTTAGTTTGTTACATCTCATTTTATTCAAAAGCTCCTGACTTTGCAAATGGACCATGAAATACTCTTTTGTTTGTTTTTTTTATTTGCCAAGCTCACGCTCACTTTGTCTCTGTCTCATTAGTTCATTTGATGTCTGCATGCATCACTGTTAAAATGTGTGCCTTCTTGTTTTAATGCAATTCCGTGAGCCAAGCCCTGTAGTGGTCTGTTCAAGTTTGGATATCAATGCCAAACCGTTACAAAAATGCAGTACGCAGTAAGGAGGGACTGAGAACTGTAATTACCTCTTCAAACCAACAGCTGATATGTGAGGATGCAGAAAATGTGTCTTGTTAAAGTTTTCATTCATCCAATACTTGTTGTTCAGATGGCATAGATGGGCACAGGACTCTAGGAGACAAGCCTGGTCTTGCTGGAAAGAGAGACATGGGCCAGGAGGAAGACTTCAGAACAGGTCTGTCCTTTTATCGACCATAATGGGAGAGGTTTCTGAAGTGATCCAGTTACCTTTCTTCTGTAACTGAAAGGGTTATAGTGCATTTATGTTTTCTTGTGCAGGTTCTATGAGGATACCAGATGAAGACATCCTCCACGCTATCGTTGACTTCCTTTCCTACCTCAAACTCAAAGGTTGGCATTATGTTGTCGTGTCAGTGTCATTATTATTGACTTGTTTATCCACTCATTATGTTTAAGATGATGATTAAGATGATATAGCATGACCACACACACAGCTGCACTACAACTAGGCCTACACACAAAATTGCTTTAATGATGAAACACGAGTTAAGTCCCTTCTGTCCTTGTAGAGATGGGAGCCTTGGACAGCCTGCCTTCCTCAGTAACATCAGATGAAATGGCCAATCCATAGTGAGAAGATGTCTGCTCCTGTTACCCAAGTGTTACTTTGTGTGCACCTATCCTGATGACCTGTGTTAATAAAACTTTATCTACCTATGTTTGAAAAATGTTTTATTGATTATGAGAGACTATGACTGTTGTAATTCTATTATCACATATGAATGGAAAAAATAAAGAAATTGCACTTGGACTTAAAATCGTGTTTATTTTAATGTCAAACAACAATAGGCAAACTATCAGGCCTATTAAACGCTCGGTCATATGACGGTCGTTTTATTTTATAATACTTTATCCAGGGTCAAGGGCCCAATGCAGAAAGGGGAGCTCTGTAAGTCTAGTGTGCATTTTTTCTATAATTTGTAGGCCTTGTGCGGGCCCTCCAAGGGGGCAAACAAAAATGATCTGAGGGCCGCACTTGGTCGCCGGGCATGGCATGGATCTGTTCAGAGCCCTGTGTTGGAACTATTATATCTACATCCTTTATATAGCAGGCTGCTACATGTGCTGCAGCCTTTATGAATGACTATCTCCACATTTTTATTCCCACCGCTTCAAAAAGCAAATATATCAGACTAGATTTTATTTCCTCCGAGTTTGATAAGTGAAGACGAGGCCGTTAACAACAGAGCGTCCATAGAGCGTCAGTGTCTGTGGCCCAATGAGCCGCAGAGCAGGAGCCGCACATCAAACTGGAGCCGAGAAATTGCAAGTAACTACGTTGTTATCCCGTTTTAAATGACGTTTTTTAACTAATTAATTTGTCTTAATCAAGATAGAATCTGATGTATTTCATTGGATTCAAATAGTAAATTTATGATATTTTATTTTGTATTAAACATGCTAACCCCGAGCTTGGTTAACGGCTAACAGTTGATCTTTTTAAGAAATTGTTTTAAGCTTTATTATTTTATCAACGTCATGTTTGAAAATAACATTGATAAAGACACTTTTTACGTTTGTGTCTGACATACAGGTGCTTGGACAAATACTGTTTTTGACATGTACAGTTGCAGTGAAGATCCCAAATATGAGGAGAAAAAGACAGAAAACAGAGACATGCCGGAAGACAATGTCAGTGATCTTGCCTGTTTAAAGACTGTTGTGTGGACAGCCCCCCCTGCAGAGGACCTGCCTGCAACAGTCCAGTCTGGACAGTATCATGACCCACTTGGGTACTTTAAAGCCCGCACAGCTGTCTGTCAAAATGTTCAATCCTAGTGTCGTTATTAACTCTTCCGATCCACTACAGATATCAGTGTCCGGCTCAGCCTTTCCACTATCAGATGCCCTACCCAGACTACCTCATTTATCCACAGTGTCAGCAGTTTACCCTTCACAACAGGTAAAGTTGCTTTTGCGGACATGATATGATGGGGCATAAGGCTGTCTCCCGTAACAAATGCCAGTGACTTTTATGCATCAGTAGCAGCAGAATATAAACAACAGTCTCGTTTAATTGCAGCTCAATCATTGGTGCTGGGGGCAGCGGACAATCAAGCACGACTTCCTGGTTTATTACTGAGCCCATTCTATGCAGCATGATGCCAGTAAGTTTGCCCTGGTTGAATACACTAACAGTCAAACGTCTGGACACACCATCTCATTCAGTGATTCAGTGTTATTTTCTATACTTAATACTTTCGACATTTTATACTGTATACATGCAGAAGACATCAAATATATGACGTAAGATATATAGAATTAAAAATGTAATCATAACCAAATCCTCAAATTAGTCACCCTTTGCTTTGTTGAAAAATAGTTCTGTACAAAATAATTCCATGTATCTTGCATCACATACATTAAAGTGTGGCCGTACCGGCTTGTCAAAGCCTGATCTCATTAGATCTCAGAAGCTAAGTAAGGCTGGGCCTAGGTAGTACTTGGAAGGGTGTCCTTGTATTATATTAGGCGCAACACTTCACCTACATTGCCTAGTAAGAAAGTGGAGAGTGCGTGAGTATTGATGGTGGTCGGAGGGGCCGATGGCGCAGATTGGCAGCTGCACTTCTGTTAGTCTGCCCCAGGGCAGCTGTAGCTACAATAGTAGCTTGCCACCACTGACTGTGGAGTGAATAAACAATAAACTGTATTTTTAGGGGGAGGCGCGCCCTTCGGAGGACAATATTTGTGTGGATTTTACAATGGAGCATCCACGCTTTGAGGAACGCTCTTTAAACAGCAACCAACTTACACATCCTGTAGCTATAGAATATATGTCACATTTATTCATCATATTTTGATCCAGAATTCATAGCTTTTATTTGTCCACAGATGTTGTACAATGGAAATCAAAATGGACAAATTTTATCCATGAACTCTGAGCCAGGGCCAGTGTTTGTTCCAATGGTTGGAAACAATTCCTTCTGTCAGGAGGAAGGTTAGACATGATCATTTAGTGCTGATTTTTGGTAACGTGAATAAAACTTTTTTGTTGTTAGTGGTTACTACTCTTCCCTTTGACTGTGGTGCTGATCCTGATCTTGAATTGCTGTATGCTGGACAAAATGCAAGCAATAACTGCAGCGGTCAGTAATTTGGTTTAGATATACAGTATATTAACATTTGTCTTTAAATTAAGTGCTGTTTTTCCTTCACAGATTTCCTTGTTGTGAGCGATTATAATCAGGTAGATCAAATTGTATGATTCAAGGTATTACAAGTACAGTGAATGGAAATCGTGTGTCAACAGGTAGCATGTCCCTCAGGTTCTAGTGAGCCAGCAGCTAATAGTCACCGTCAAGCTTCTGTATCTCAGTAAGTCAGAACTCCTTGCCTCAAATAAGGACCAAGACAATAATTTAGGAGTATTTAGCAAACAGTAACAATGCTGTAGATTACAACATTGAGAAAGGAGAGTTAACATTAGACACAGCTATACAGTGAAGACACAGTTTAGATATTCATACATTTACTGGAGTGTACTTCCCTCTGCTGGCCACAATGAGAACACAAAGCCATGATTTTATTACTATGAACTACTTTTGAACAAATTTGCTCTGGTATTGTGAAATAGGCAATAATTCATTGATTTATATTTACTTTACTTTATGGTGATATCCATTACTTAACTCTAAAGGTCCTATATTACAGATAACTGACTATTGTGAACTTTAAGTTATGTTAAAATGTTGTTACCTCCTCAAAAACATGTCTGGAGTTGTGTTGCATTCACACATGTTTGAGTAATCTTTCATTAACTGTTCCACCTTGTGATGTCATGAAGCAATATTTTTCATTAGCATCTACATTTTACCTTTAGTTCAGTATAGATGGGCCATTCCAGGGCTGAAATTATCCAAATGATTCTATTGATATTGTATGGAGTTTAAAAACACAGTGGAGCACTTGTATCATGTATTAACACTTGACATCACAAGGTGGAACGGAGTGTTGTCATTTTGAGAGAAGAACTCAGGCTAAATATGCGTGTGAATATGTGTGAATGAAACAAAACCCAACTCCAGTTAAGTTTGTGATGAGGAAACAACATTACAACAAACACAGATCAGAAGATAGCATCATATGGGACCCTTAATATTATAATAGTTGTATTTTCTTTTGGGTTATATGTTTTTGGGTTATAATTTTCATATGTGTGGTGCTTTTACATCTTCCTCTTTCTATGATTGTGTGACCTTCAAAACCTCTGGTGCTTCGAGGTCTTATAAACCATGCCACTGCACCAAGTCCAGGTGCCTCAAACTGTAAGTATAACCACATTGTCTCTGTGGGCTTGAAATGATATTTAACTCACAAATCTCTCATTCAGATACTGCGAGTGCTTTGCTTCTGGAGCCATGTGTAACAGTTGTAACTGCACCAACTGCCACAATAACCCAGAACATGAAGCCAAGCGAAGAAAAGCTATAAAGGTATGCAGTTTAATGGTCCTATATTACACAAAATGTTCTCAGTGTGTTTAGTTGGGATAAAAAATTTCAGGACTGAAATTATCCAAATGATTCTCAACTCCAGGAATGGATTTGATGAGGAAACAACATTATATCATGGATCTTAAAATAGTGTAATATGGGCCCTTTAAGGAGTGACATAAAGACAGCAATGCTTTATCTAAAGTGCTTTTGACAAGTTAAGATACATATTTCACTTTACCATACATACTATTTAAATTAAATGGATTTGCCATCAAGACATCAAGGCCTTAGACATTTCTTTAAGTAAAATAATAAAATAGTAATACTGGCTTTACAGAAGATTACAAATTAATTATATATTTTAAAAAAAGACATTTTCTTACATCTAATCAGAATATGTATTTTTATTTTGTACCGTATTAGTGACTAAATGTACTATAGAGAATCAGAACTGAGGAAGCAGCTTGCATGAGCTGCAAAACGTATTCGACCAAATAAACTTTTGTCTGGTCGACAAATTTAATTTCTCCTTTGCCATATAAACAATGACGCTATATAGTTAACAACAAATAAAACATGGCATAATTATTGAAGTTTCAACACGCTGTGGTGGACATGAGCACAAATCAGTGTGTATGGACTGAGCGTGACCAGTGTGTGTCTACAGAGGTCTGGACCAGCACAAACAGTATTGACTGTGATAGAACTACTCACTGGCATCATTGATCAGGTTCTAACGGTTCACTATAGACCGTACAGCAGAGGAGTCTGTGTTTACTCACAGGTGACACTCCCCCGGTGGCTGCTGGGATTGACGTATGATCAAACTCAAACCTTCTGTGATCACAACTTCTGCACTTCTGTCACTGTAGTGTTGTATAAACGGGAGTTTCTTGAGCAAAGAAAGAGTCAGCATAACCTTAGAAGAGCAGGCATATTTTAAAAAATGAAGACAAGAATTTAAAAAAGAAGCTGTTTTTTTTTAGAATTGTTAATATATGGAACATCCTGAATGATGAATTTAAAAAGTCCAAAAGTATAGAAAAAAACAGTATAATGTATTATTTCTGTGAAAGCTTTAGAGCTCTGGAATGATCCATGCATTCAATTTAGTTTGTTTTTTATATATATTTTTTTCTCAGTACATCCTAGGTGAAAGTGTAAACACACACTTGCTGTTCATTTGCTGCCTTCATTATTGTCATTGTTTAACAGGGTTTGGGAGTATACTGTAAGTACTTTTTACTTAAGCCTAAACCCTTTTGGTCATGTCATGTTCCAAATGGGGTTATAATCTATGTCCTTGTAGTGCTGCAAATAACCAAATAAACTACTGCTATATATGCTGTATAGTTTACTCAAGATTCTGTGGTGAAATATGTGGATAATGCTTGTTCCGCAGTCCTGTCTTGCCCGTAACTCAGATGCCTTCAAACCTAAAATATCCGGTGGAAATTCAGGAGATGTAAAAGCCTGGCACAGCAGAGGATGCAACTGTAAGCGCTCTGGCTGTCTGAAGAACTACTGCGAGTGCTACGAGGTGGGGGTTACAACTACATTTAGACACCTCACAACTGCTTTTCAACTTCATCTTTATTAGTATTTATTATTATGTGATTTTTATCTCCCAGGCCAATATCCGGTGCACCCACAGCTGTAAATGCGTTGGTTGCAGAAACTATGATCCAGACCTGGCAGACAGTGAAAATTACAAGTCAGTTCGATAAATCTACACAATTTAAACAAAACAAATCTAACATCACTCATTCACCTGCACTGATGCGTTCATAAGGCTGTCATTAGAAGGCCCTGTGGAACTAACCTTGTGCTGTGTGTCCAGGGGCAGTGGGTCAGCGTCTGTGATTACCCCCGCAGTGATGGAGGCTGTGGTGGGGTACTTACTGGCCCGCGCTAGAGAGGCTGAGCAGGAGCAGCGCTGTGAGGCCTGGGCACAGCATGTGGTCCTCAGCGAGTTTGGACAATGTCTCACACAAATAGTCAAAGCTATGTTCAAAGTCCCCACACAGTGAGAGATGGGACTAGCAGGTTACAATAAGGCTAACAAAGAAGGTAGCATTGTGTTTAGCTTATGAAGTTATACATTTTATTCTTCTGTGAATATTTACATAGATACTTCATTTTGTTTCATGTATAGAACTTATTTATTTTGGTGAAGCTGCAGAAACAGTATGTAACAGTTTTAATACATTATTCATTAAACGCCTAAAACAACTTGAATGCATTTTATTTACACTGCTAGAAGTTTCAACAGAATACATAGGCTTATTTTCCACTCAATGAATTATTAATTAATTATTATCATTAAAGCAGGTCACTTGGCAGGCAACTTGGTTATTTATTTTTCCTTATTTTATCAACCTGAAAGCTATTATTCCATGTTTTCCTTTGGTGTATGTGGGATATATGTTGTTGTGAGGACAGTCCCACAGTGGTTGGGTCCGGATGCTAAGCCACATAAACAATTGGCTGATAACCAAAGTGGACACAGGAAGTACCTTTCGGTGTGGTTGGCAGCTCCATACTATTGATGTTCTCCTCTGTGGGTCACGGCCATGACGACAGCACTGTTTTTTTGCTGTTTTGTAGGCTCCAGTAAACAGGATTCCCGCCAGGCCTGGCAGGGAGGGCGGATCGAACATGTTACAGATGTGGCTGATAAAAGCAGCTGGAACAGGGCTGTGCACATAACACTGCACTGGCACCGGCTGCTCATCCCACGGCCACAATGGTAAGACTCACTCCTCCTGTGGGTGTAATGGGCTCAGGGTAGGCTTAAATTATTATAAAGCTTTATATTAGACCAAAATTTGTTTGTAAATGTTCAGGTCAGGACTTGGGAGCCTTTATATTTACCTGGTCAGCCAGAAGCACACACTTAGACAAAATTATAGAAAGAACAGAATGTAGAAGGGCCTGACTGGTCAGGCAACCTTTTATATGGCATGTTCTGGTTGAAGCTTGCAGAAATTTTGGATTCTTCAAAATGTACTATTAAATCATGCTGTAAAGGATGTAAGAAGATATTTGAAGAAACTATACTCAAAGTTACCTAAAAGACTTTGTCTGTTCTCTTCTGGTAGAGGCTGAGAGCTGCAGTTGTGTGGACATTGACTGTGATCATCTCATTATTTGTGGAGGTGCACAGTGTTCACAAGGTAAATAAACTTCTTATTTAAAGCACTATTTTCTTCAACCATGGCCATCAAACCGTTTTCTTTTCAGATGAAGATCCACTGGGGTCCACAGTCTATGATGTACCTCAAAGGCAAACGTGAGCAAATTTTTAAAAAAATTATTTATCAAATACAGATTTTAAAATATCAGGGCATGCCAGAATGACAGTGTTTTTGTACATTTGTGTTTACAGATGGCAGGCGGTTTGTATCAGAAGGAGAGAGCCAGATCTTGAAACAGAATCTGCAGGACTGGCACACACTCCTCAAAGGTAAAGGTTTATTTTATGTAAACTACTTCCTCAGTTGATTTGATTAAGACTGTTGTATGAAATACACATAACTTAACAATGGGAAGAGCATGAACAACCTGCCTGAGTGAATGTGGTGTGTGTGGTTGAGTATGGCAGTCCTACAGCATGTGTGCTCCAAAAGAAGCCTGGGTGTCTCTTGGTTTCATCTTAGGACAGCTGTTCCCAAAGTTTGTGCCCCCCCAATAATAATTCATGCAAATTTTGAAAGAATATGCACTGTTTTTCCCTCAAATGTACTGATACACTACTGATATAAAGTAGATATATATTAGACAAAAAAATTATGATATTAATTTTAAGCAAAATTTTCTTTCAAAGCTTGTTATGTGGACAGCCATTGGGTAGTGCCTTTGCGCCCCCCCGGCCCCAGACCCCACTTTGAGAACCTATCTTTACTAGGCACTGGTGCACTATGGGCATGGCTATGCATTTAACTTGAGATCCAAATATGTATCTTTATGTTACTATGTCAGCTATGTCCCCAATGTTGCTGCACTGTGTTGTACAGGTGTGTTTATGTTCTTGATTTTACACGTCTGTTTGTGCGCTTGATTATATAGGTGTGTTATTGTACACATGTTTTTGTGTTGTTGTTGATTGTACATGTGTGTTTGTGTTGATGTTGATTGTACAGATGTGGTCTTGTGCAGGTGTACAGCCGGTGGACTTCAGTAAACCTCGTCACATTGTGAGCTCTGAAAAAATTCTGATCCAGTATCTCCAGGAGAGATGAGAAGTACTGACCCGTGCAGCCAGAACCCTGTGGACCTAAGTCAGCGACAACTTCTGATACAAGTAACCGGCTGAGACTCCATCGGTGCTACATACCTCTACATACCTGTATAATGACCTGTATAATAACTGTATAGCTGTATAATGGCTTTAAGGAGGACTCACATATAAGCTATTGCATCTGTTTACTCATTTGGATATACTGTTTTGTACCTGCTTACAATGCATACATTTTACCAGAAGATGGCAGTGTTGCCTTTTTATGTTTTTCAAGCAGGTCCATAACTATTTTGACAAATTTATGTCTGCAATGCAAACATCTAAACCTAGGGTTTCAAACTGTATTCATTTTTAACATTCACCTGTATGAAGATAGATGTATCAATGGGTTTTCAGAATCATAAAACATTACAACCATTGCCATAGCCATTAGCAATTTAAAAAAATATATATTTTGAATGGTGAAAAATCCTAAAAATATCACCTAAACCGGGAAGCTGAGCTCATGAATAGGTCTATAGATCTAGGTCTAAAACATCTGGTGTGCCTGATTTTACACTACAGGAAGTCACATTTTTATTTTTTATTTTTTTGACCTCATCAGCATCTCTCATGGCAAACGTGTGTTTGAAGATTAAAGTACAATAAAGATGAACTATTTACTTGCAATGTGTAAAATGTGTAGCTTATTGGGTGGCCTTAGAACATTTTAACTCAGTGTGTGGGTGGTTATGTTTCAGATATTTTTAAAAAGCTTCATGGACTTGATTGTACTGTACCCTGCAGACCATAGACTGTACAAGGATATATATTTATATATACAGTCTGTGGTACAAACAAAAACTTTCAGTGAGGCTGCTAACACAAACAGTGGCTCTGCTTGGTTTAGTTAATCCTGTAATAGATATTCAGTGTGTTTAAAGTGCTCACGTTTCAGCCAGGTTCATTCAGTCCCTCAGCTCCTAAAATCACAACAGACAGTTCATCCTTTCTCCATCAGCAGAGAGGGAAGGGGAGAGAGAGAGGGAGGGAGAAAGAGGGAGAGGAGGAGAGAGGGGGATAGAGCTGGGTGTTAACTTGACCCATGGATCACCCTAAGCTCCTTCCTGTCCCCATAACTCCAGGCATTACACTCACACTTGGGCATTTACAAAGGTAACAGTTTTAGGCCATGTGGAAAACTGTCCAAATATTGACATTTCCACATCGTCTTAGTGCATTTCAAACTTTTACTTGAAACAGAAACTATGAAAGGACTTATTTATAATTTAGCAAGGTAATGGACTTCCACTCCAAATTCAACGCAGGTTTTTGTGCTGGCGGTCACCCTGTCAATTTCTATGGACTGGGATCAGCTTTAACACAACCCTGGCTTGCATCACCCCCCATTCTTTGCATATCTAAAATTTGAAGTATTTTGATTAAAAGCAAAAGTTTCAAAAGCCATTGCCAACATTATTTATAGCTGACTATCAAATCCAAATGTACTCAAATCCAAACATTGTGTTTTATTATAGTGTAGGAAAGGCTATAGAATATTCATATTTTATCAGCTCCCGTTGAAAGCAAGACTGTTAATTTGAATTGTGTGCACGTAGCTCTTTTACAGGATGAAGTCATGGCAGTCCTATCATAAATCCTGCATCTTTAGAGGGGCACTTCCACTTTATCACCAAAAGAAACAACCATATTAATGCTCCTATTTATACTTTGCAACTGATGTCATCTACTTTCCCTGAGGTGTGATGCTAACTAGAGACTCTGCTCTGTCTGACTTCAATCTGAGCTTTGTTTTAACACAATCTGATCAGAAAGAGCTGACTTAGACAGAAGAACAACAGGTGAGATCATTTGTGCTGTTAAACAAGTCTCTCACACATAAAATTACAGTCACAAGCTGGTAAGCACTAGCCAATAGTTTTTCAGTTTTCAGTCTCTCTTTTGTTGAAATTCAAACACTTCAACAGGACCATGAACACACACTCCTGAAAATGTGTTGTTTAAATCCATTTTGTATTTTTTCTTGAGTTTTCACGCAATCTAAACACTGTTTAGTTGTTATTGCTCATGTGTGCATTGTGTCACCATTGTAATTGATGAATATTCTGCCAATAGAAATATATAGAAATACACCCCCAGAATAAACTGCAAAGTATGAATTTGAAAATGCAGGATCTTGTATTTTCTATGTGCCTAAGCCTGTACATGTTCTGAAGAGTAAATTCAATATCTTAATTTCAGCCAAACGTGTCTCTGTTTAATCCATGATGCAGACTTTTTTATGTAAGCTGATCTGAGTGATGGTATTTTGTAAACAGTGTAGTGATACTAACAGCGTTTGACAAGCTGCCAACAGGAGACACAGGGAGACCCGAGGAAAGAAAGAGCGCAGTGTACCAGCCATCAGCATTTTGCGGATGAAAGGCGATCCCTGCCCCGAAACACACCCAGGACTCCCCGATAAGAACAGTCTGTGTCCATCTGCGCAAGCTACAGACACGACAGGAATTTCCTTTTTTAATTTCCTAATATAATATACGTGTTGAGTGTGAATGTTGTGTCAATGACTCAAGCTATAGTGTTGTACAGGAAAAGTAACTACTATATTTGTATATATTGTACTGGAGTTTTTATGTTTATGTTTTATATTTCAGTAAATCTGTTTGGCCAGCTCAAAACAAAAACATTTGTTGTCGTAAGTATATTTTCTTATATTATGGTCTTTTTTTGGGAATAGCTTATTGTTTTCATTATTGTAAAGGTGCACAGTGTAAGCTTATGGTTGGAGGTCTGTCACCCGCTTGTTTCTATGGATATGTAACTGCTCTGCCTAGAATGTTCCACAGTATGACATTAAACAGATCTACCTTACATTTATTTAATTACAGGTGTTTTATAGCTCAAAAATACCTACAAAAACAGGCATTCTGACTGTGAGCAGGATTGCCTCTCCACAGATCTGACCTGTAACTTGGTCTGGTTTGGTCTCCATGAAGGTAGAAATGTTTAATGTCATACTGTGAAATATTCCAGACAAACACCTCCATTGAGAAAAGCATCTGACAAGCCTTCCACTACAAAAGTTACACAATGCAACTTTAAGCTCCTTTTCATTGATATTCTAAAAATAAATAAATAAACAAATAAAAAATAAAACTTAATGTACAGTTACTCCTCAAATACATTTTACCTTAACTTCAGAATGTTTTTAAAGATTTTTACTACTGCTACTTGAGTATTATTATTTTAAAGTGACAGTATCCTTATTTGAGGTACAATTTTTGACTGATCTATAACCCGCCTGACAGCAAATTCAAATTAAATTGAAAAATACATAGATTATTAGAAAAATATTCCAGCTTTAATAGTTGAGCATATTCACAGTACAAACCTCCTCTGGAAGTATGAGAGTAATAAAAATGAAAATGACTTTTAAAATCAAGATTAAATATTCAATTAACAATAATGATATGAATTCAGGTAATATTGCCCCGACCTATAACATTTCAAATTGTATAATTCACTATAATTAAAGCATAAGATACATTTTAAGGTTATAAATTAATTTGATAAAACCATAATAATCACATTTTCTTTTCTGTAAACATTCATTTCCTGTCTAATCGTAATGTCTTTCTTAGAAGATAACCAACCTCTATCTATTTCAGATTAAAATATGAAAATAAAATAGGTACTTAATAAACTAATGGCATATTGCTGTATGATTATTGCAAATTATAACCTCACATATTCTCCTCTTGCATGTCCATCTTTCAGTGTAACGTCAATAAAGGCATATGATATTGATGTGAGAGCACTTGTCCGGCCCCGGGTGGCTCCTGGTTGCTCCTCCGAGTGCCAGGGGGTTAATGATGTCTGATGGAGATGGTGCAGGCTGTAATGACATCACATCATCGTATGGCTTGTGCAGGAGTACAGCTGGAGACACACACACACACAATGTCTGCAGATCTCAATTGACTAGCAGTGAACAGAAGATTTTGTTGGCATTTTGGTCTTTGATTAATATAAAATAATTAAAAAGAGTAAAACTTTAACAATCTGATACTGTTGAATGGTAATTGTATGTTAGTTAAAACAACATTAATGTGATTAATCTAAAGCATTAACAAGCAAATTATACAGTATTTGCACTTACACACACAGAGTGCAGTGTTTCCCATTAATACAGGAGACTACACTGGCCCCCATAGTCTAAAAACAACCTGGACTATATTGGCATGACAGAATTAGTTGTGCATTATATCATAGACATTTTAAAGAGGTTGCTTAAAGATTAAATATAGGCAGTAAATCATCTGAGCTCCACAAATTAAAGGAGATTGAATTATTCAAATGAACATAATTTGTGCCTCCAAAATCTTAACCAAACCTCTGGGAAACACTGCAGTGTGAAATAAATAATGAACTATTCAAATTCATTTCTCTGCATTTTGCAATGTAACTTGACAAATGCCTTTTAACAGGTATAATTAATACATGTACTGAAACTATATGTATATTATTCTGTGTTTTAGACCAAAATGACAGACCCAATCTGCACAAAGTCAATGTGAGACCAGGGACATGTTCTCCCAGTGGTCGTCAGGCAAAGATATGTCATACTCTTCCACAGATTTTAGTGTTAATGCCATACAACTTTAAATTGTATCTCCTAAAACGGTTTATCACAAGGAAGGCAATTCTTGACCAGAAAGGCTCTTGTGATTACTTTGAAAAATCTAAAATCTGTTTCATCCACGTTACATTTAGTGGTCCACAGTAGGACAGTGTTCAGAGTTCCAATGCCACAGTAAGATCAGTAATAGCTACAAAGTGATGATGTTGCCGTCCTCTCTCATGTCCTGACTGGAGCTGGCGGCGTGGGCGGGGTTTTGGTTATGGTTAGTCAACAGCGTGGCACTGTTGCTAAGTGACGATCCGATGCCGCTGGGTAAAGAGATGCTCTGAGGGAGGCCCCGGGCTCCTGTGTTATTGTTGAGGCGGCCGTTGGCAGAGTCCCTGCTCAGGTTCAGGTTGTTGCTGTGGTGTTGGGGGTGATAGGGCAAAATGTCGTTCTCCAAAATGAGGTCTCTGTCTTCATCCTCCTCTTCCTCACTATCTCCTTCCACGATACTGTTGCTGCAGACAAGAAAATCGATCAGACGCTAACACCATGAAAATACTAGATACAGATGTGTTACAGATTTTATATCATCATTTACAAAATTCAAGAAAAGTAAATTTAGCTGTGTGACTAATGAAGAATGATGAATGAATGATACTAGAATAGCAGATTCTTTGAAGTCCTTGTACAACAAAAAATCAAATTGAGTGATTTTGATTTTAAAAATTAATCTACATTGATTTCTTTTATTCACAGCTGTTTGATTGAAGAGGGAAAACTGAGAAACTGATGATTACAAAAAACGTCTTTCTAAATCTTGGCTCTGAGAGATTCAGCATGGAGTGATTGTAGTGCTTGAAAACCCAGTTTGCACAAATACTATTTTAGGGAAAAATCAACTAATTTCTAGACTATGAAAATTATCCACTATTCACAGTTTTCTCACATTTTAGTTGTATAACCAAAGGATTTTATAAACTTGAATCCTCACCAACAGAATAACAAGAACACTTTGATACAAATTCAAATGATGATTATTGCCTCCCTGCTCGCTCTTGCCTTCGCTGTAATAGAATGTACCTTGCTGTGATGGGGTTGCTTTGGGAGGCGGGGCTTGGAGAGTCATGTGACAGAGCAGACCCCACAGATCCTGCTGAGCCCACAGACCCTGAGTTCCCCATTGAGGTCTTGCTGCCGCGATGAACCACGTTGTTCCTCTGATTCGCTGGCTTCACTGTCACTATGAGGTTGTGACTGTTTGCTACCATCATGTCTGTGACCTGGAAGTAAAACCAAGTTCATCACTGATCACAATATTATGTCTCAACAGCAAAGGTGCTCTAAGCAACTTTTCTGGTTGAGGGTCTGTTACCTACTTTTACAGTGCATAACATTTCTAATGGAGGGTCCACCACCTGCTTGTCTCCAAGGAGATGTTATTGCTCTGCCTAGAATGTTCCATGGTAAGATGGACATTACAGACGTTTCTATTGCTTAAAAATACAATAATTCCTTCTGTGAACAGGGACGACTCTCCACAGATCTGAACTGTAATGCCGCATAGTGCTGTAACCTGCTTGTCCCCCTCATGAAAAATAGATTTAATCTGTACTGTGGAACATTCTAGGCAAAGCAATAACATTTCCATGGAGACAAGCAGGTTGTGGACCCTCCATTAGAAATGTTATGCACTGCACATTTAAAGTGATATAAATAATCCAGTTGACATTGCTTCCAGTTAGTAAGAAATGTCTTTGGTGACTTGTAGTGTCCCAGTCTGACAGCTAATAGTTTGCAAGAAGTATTGTAAAACATGGCGGCTGCACACAAAGCAGTTATTACCTGGTCCAGTGATTTCCCTGCTACATCGATGCCGTTGACCTCTAGAATTTCATCATTGACTCCCAGCAGCCCTGTGCTCTCAGCCAGGCCCCCTCTCACCAAACGGGAGATGAACACCCCTGGGACCTGCCAAATTTGAGAAATAATCATTAGATATTGAGAGAATATTTTTGCATCTAGTTTAATTAGCCAGGGCTGTATAAGTGGCCTGGTTTGTGATTTGTGGCAGTGTAATCAATAGAATAGAGGGACAACATCACATTATTGTCTTAAGATGATTAAAACACAATCAATAACACTGCTTTTCATTTAATTTTCTGTGAACTTTCATTGACCCTTGTAAGCAAGCAACAGAAAATTAGGGGCTGCTATCAAAAACTACAATGCTAAAGAATTAGAATGAAGATTTTTATTTTAGTATTGAAACTGGAAAACTTGATTAAATTAATAAACCAAATAGCATACAATGTTGGTTCAGTTACACATTGTAATACCACCTCACATAACAACGATTACTACTATAACAGGTTAATATAATTTGATACGACAACATTACTGACCTTCTCCACGCCCTGCGGAGTGACCCTGACGCTGACCCCGTCCCGGATGTAGAAGCCCAGGGGTTTGTGTGTGCCATGTTTGTGCAGTCGGACTCGTCGGTGCGTCTCTGGCAGGATGTCCACGTCGATGATGGAAGAGATTTGTCTGAAGTTCTGGGGCATGCCAATGAGCAGGGCTTGTTTGCTCTTGTGAGTGGAGCCTGACCCAGTGGTCCGAAGTCCAGTCAGACCCAGGCCCTTCTTACGCCTCTGAAGAGAGTTAGTGCCAAAAACCACCGGCTCATCATCTGGTGAGACAGGACACAAGCAGAGAAGAAGACATTAATATAGTGTTTTTATGCATTTCCAATCATATACTGAATAAAAAAACGTCCAATAATCCTATGTGCATAGAATCAGACAGTCCTGCACAAAGAAGTTTTCTTACAGGTAGTAAAATGGTAACTTATTAAAGGTGTGCCGTCTAACTTTTCAGTTGGGGACCGTCATATTCTACTAGTCATTATTCTGCCTGGAATGTTCCACAATATGAGATTAACAAATCTACTTTACATTTATTCAATTACAGGTGGTTTTGTATCTTAAAAACATGCATCAGGGTTTCCTCTTCACAGATCTGACCTGTAATTTAGCCTGGTTTGGTCTCCATGATGATAGAAAGGTTTAATGCCATATTGTGAAACATTCCAAATGAAACAAAAGCATCTCTGTGGAGAAAAGCATTTGATGGACCCTCCACCAGAAAAGTTACACAATGCACCTTTAAACATACCATAAAAACACAACACCCTCTAATAAAGAAATGTTAAACTGCTACAAATAGACATGAAAAGTATTTTAATCCATTCATTCCTGTTTCGTCTGGATTTTCTGGTGGGGCCCACACAGTTCTTGACCAATCAGAAGTGCTTTTCTGCTGTTGCCTCATGGCCGTGGTCAGAGAAAGTCCTTTTGTTTGGTGTGGTTGAGTCTAAGCAGGTCTAAGGCTCTGGGCTGGAGTGATTAAAGATTAATATGAGGGATTGTTTGTAGAGATCTGTGTGGGAGCGAGCCATGGACCATGTGTGGGGTCAAGACTGATTAAAGACACAAAGATTTGGTCACCAGCCTATAATCCTACTGCAGCCACATCTACAGGGCACTTGTTTTATCTGAGTATGAGCCGCTCTTTGAGAAACATGAGAAGGTCCACAGACTTTCAGAAGCTGTCACTCAGAGTTCTGCAATGTTTTTATGAGAACGGTATCCTCTATAGTGCAATAGATATAGAAATATTCTTTTTGGCATGCACTATAACTTTCAACACAAGCATTACATTGGTGTACTTGGCAATTCATCAGCACATGGTTATTTTTTATGTCAATCCATGCCATGATCATACAGCAAAGTCTTGATTTGAATAAATTAGTTTTACTATTATTATTTATTGTCTATATTTTCATCAGTAATATATCGAACTTCAAAAGGTTATCGTGACAGGCCTCGATAACGCAAAAGGAAGTTGGTCATTTCCATTGGATCTACTAGGCAAGATATTGTATAAAGTAAAGACAATGTAGTAAATGTTGTTGGGGTGTAACGATATCCAAGTCTCGTGATATGATATTGTCACAGTATGAACCTCACGGTATGATATTTATAGAGATATCATGGAAAAGCTCACGATACGGTATGATATTTATTATGATACTTTGTGGAGGCAAACAAAACTGTTAATATGCTACTTTTTCCTCTTAAAATGCCTGGAAAAGACTTATTCCAAAGAACAAAATCTTAAAAGTGCTTAGAACTGTTATTTCTTCATGTAGTCTACACTGAAATGGAGCAAAGGATCATGGTCTATGTAGTTCCCTCTGTCTTTATTTTAGCTATTGCTGCATCTTAACTCTTAATTTAAGCAAAGAGACTTGTAATTCGATATATTGTGATGGTCCATGATATTATTGTGAGAACTTTGACGATACGATATCACAATATTTCGGTTATTGTTACTATTGTTACCTTTACAGTATATGTAGTTTTGCTCCTTCTCTGACTCTGAGACCATGTGAACATTGTGTCACTGTGGATGGTGTGTTGTAGTAATGTTGTTATGAATTCTGCACCAAACAACCTAGTCAGTCACCACTGGAGCTACAGTGTGCACGAGTGGGCATTTGAATAGTCAATATGTGTGTGTGTGTGTGTGTGTGTGTGTGTGTGTGTGTGTGTGTGTGTGTGTGTGTGTGTGTGTGTGTGTGTGTGTGTGTGTGTGTGTGTGCGTGCATGCATGCATATAGAGCCAAAGAAAGCACCTGCTGTGACATCACTGACTGGGCCCGTGCTAAAAAAGCCACACTCTGCGGGATCCCTGTCAACAGGAAGTATTTGGATAATATAATATTTCATAGTTGTAATGTATCTGGCAGCATAGTGTGAATAGAGATGTTTTAGCATTGAAAAAAACACTGGCTGACAACAAGAGAGAAAGTAGGAAGCGTAACATTGTAGTAGTAGTGTATATATAACACTGTCACTGGGTATATTTTACATTGTCATTATTATGGGATTACAATAATCACTTACAATCATTTAGCAAATTATTCCATGTAGTTCGTTTTGCCTTTGAGTACATGATTGAACATTATATTGAGCATTATTAAGCAAAAAACTAAACATAGAAGTACTCTGACATATTGTACAGCTATCTACTTTCCTGTGCACTGGCAATGGCGGCAAAAAATATTGTAAATGACTGTATGCAAACCAAATTGGATTTACATAGCACCTTCCGAGATACACAAAGCACTTACCATTATTTATTCACATCATACTGTTTACGGAGCGAGGATGTTAGTTACAAATATTGAGACTCAGTTTAAAGGTTGGCATATGTAAAATCTACTTTAATAATATTTGAACCATGTCATAAGTTTACCCTTATCATGGTCTTACACAAAGTTATATTTTTATTGATTCATGCATTGAGTTAGTCTGTATTGTACTGCATTTGCGGCTTGAGGGCTCTGAAGATTTCTGTTTTCACCTACACCCAGTCTTTGCTTTACTTATCTGTACTGCTTTCCAAGGTTGAAATGTCACTACGAGGAGGCGGGAAAGTCAATGTACTTGACTAAGACGTTTTAGATTACTACTGCAATTTACAATGGACAAAATGTAAAATGATGTATGCTATACTTATAATATAATACATCTTCGTTAAATAGTGTGTTTAAAATAAGTTTGAGAACATTTGTTGTGCATTTTGTCTCAGACAGAAAACATTCCAGGATACATGGTACAGTGTGCCCTGTGGCTCTGCTCCAAACACATGACATTTTTGTACAGCAGACCCTTCTCTTTCACCCCTTCAACACTTCGGAGTCACCCTCGCTGTTCCAAACATAGACTGTATGGTTCCCACATAACTTAATTAGCATTAAATAAATAAAATGCCATCTGTTACCATAGGGGCTTTTACCAGATACTTGATTAGATTACAAGTTGGATTACAATGTCACACATTATCAGTGGTAAGAGCTCGCTATTGTTCATCTCCTCTGAGACAAGTGAGATGTTATGGAAGATGATTTGTGGGCCCAGTCAATCCATTTTGGAGTGACAGAGGATTAGTCCAGTCTGATCTTATCTATGAACATATACAAAGTTCACTATTCATTCACCAAGACACAACAATCCAGCCACTGTTTGAGCAATAACATTTGTACAAAACCTCTCAAACTTAACTACAGGTGGAGCAGAGCAGAGCGGAGCTGGAGACACAGACCCGACTGGCCACATTCCTGTACCGCATTCCAACGTCACTCACTTATCAACATGAAGTCCACTCCACCAAACAGCTCATGTGCATAACAACTGCAATACAAATGGTTAGAATAGGAGTACAGATACATAAAGGAATAGTGCCTGCTCTGAAAGTACATGAAAATATGTGGTGCTCTCAGAGAACTAGACAGAAGCCTGAAGGCACAGACATTTCTAAGCACCTCGCTCTTGCCCACTGATGCTTTCACTCTAAAGACCAAAGCTATTGAATAAATGCAGTCAAGTATCAAGGCCTGCTTAACATGCACCAAGTATATACACTGGCAGGAGGGAATTTAAGAGTTTAAGTGTTATCAGCAACTCACAGCTAATCGTACACAGAGCTGAGGAAGCAGATATGGCTAGAATTTCTAAAAGTCTTGTAAAACCACCTGCAGTTTTTGTTTAACCTCAGGCGCAAACGTGCAAGAAGATTCAGATTCCCAAAACACCACACTTCAATGGCTGACAACTATATACTGTACTACAAATTACATATTTATTTTTTTTGTAAATTATCCATCCTAATCTGGTATTAGGGGTGGGCAGAAATTTAAATAACCAATATAGTAACCATTATCATGAATGTTTCTGAAATGTGCAGAATTTCAACTGAGTATATAGTTTAAAAAAATAAATCAGGTCAACAGACACATTTCTGTTGGATTGACATAATTACTGGGATAAAATTGCAAGATATTAATTTTTGTCATTATCGCCCATACCTACCTGGAATCTAGTCACACAGTGTATGTATGTGGTTATTATAGAAACATGATATGCTTTTGCACAGTGGTCAATAAAATAATACAACTGGAAAAAAGTTCTTAATGTACTAAAGTGACCAAATAATGTCCTAACTCCTTGATGTAAAAGCATCATAAGTAAAAACAAACAAACAAAAGTGACCCTGGTAAAATCAATTCTGGTCACAAGTCAGTAATAAATAGTACTCATACATGACCACATTATCTTGGGTGCTTTTGGTTCATGAGATCGAAGCTTTTAAAAACACAATACAGTGACCTCACAGCAGGCACCATCTGGAGCCCGGGGGACTGCCATCTGCCTCAGTGCTGTGCAGGTCTACTGTGAGCTGAAACATACACAGGACACCCAAATAGGACACACTCAAGCTAGGAGGTATTAACCCACCTACCAAGGCGCGACAAAAATAGAATACAAATACATCTTTGTGCCTGGGAAATACAAAAGGAATCTGGCACAAGTAATGCTGCAGGAAAAGGACCAGTTCTGGCAAGACAGAAACTCATGGTTTTCTATTGAAAATAGCAGTCTGTCTGTCATGCACAGAGGGCAGAAAGAAAAACAACATGTTAGTGATAATGACATTTTAGAACTGCTTTCCTGAAATTATTCAATTATCAGTTAAATAAATTTAGAGCTGGGCAATATGACAGAAAATGTCACTTTTCCTCCCCTCAATTTTCAATGGAATTTTATTTTGTATTATAAAAAACAAATAAAAATGTCTTCCAATATTAACTTAACACAAACTACAAAGAAAAAATGCAATTTAAAACAAAAAATAGTCAAATTTCATCCACCAAAACATGAACTCTGCTCTGACAGAGCTCTTTATTAGACCCAAGCACTGACAACAGTGAAAAATTGCACAGCCCTCAATTGAATTTTGCATTTAAAATGGTAAGTTTCCTTTTTATTATTCATTATGACTGTCTACTGAAAACAGGACCACATTCAAAAGATTGAATTTATATAGCTCAGTATGACAACAGTTGCCTCTGGGGGCCTTTCAAAAACACACTTACAAACAGACACACAGACTCTTCCATCAGCGAGATGAAACACAGCAATGTGGGAAATCAACCACACAGGGCAGACTGCGTAGGGGCATATGGAGAAAAATATATCAATCTTTCACAGTTTATTTATTTAGGAATGATCTTATGAGATAAAATTGCCACAAGATGCACATATGTGAAAAATTATCTTAGACTTTTTTCTCTATAAATTTACATTTGAAGTGAACTGAGTTATTTATATATGTCAAAATCTCGTTCTTGTGGACCCAATCTCATGTCCTATTTTGTCTCGTGGGAATTGTGTCTCGTCCTATCCCTAATATTTATCTATGTGTTATAGGCTATTATTTTAATTAGTTTTGGCTCGATTTCAGCCTTGTCTAGCCCTCCACAAATATTTTTATTGCAGTAGTTTATATGGGATGTGGACAGCAGTTGCTCCTCCTTTTGAGCATAAATATTTGATTTTCTTCTGTAGCTCTGGGACAGACACTCAGAACAGGATCTTTCTTTCTTACATAACATTCCTGATACTTCCTATAACATCTGAAGATCACAGGTGCATCCGTTACTGTAAACAACATAATTTTGTTTTTTTTTTTACATTATATTCTGTAACTAAACTAAAATTACAAAAAAAAACAATAACAATAATGCAAAAATTCAAAACACAAAACACAAAATTCAAAAGGCATGAGCTGCAGCAAATATATCAATAAATAAATAATGGAATGTACCAATAATTATTAATATTCAACCTTTAATGGCTAAACCAGCCAAATCTCCCCACTTTAACAAAGAAAATGTACACACAATAAATACTGAACCCCAAAATAAATTCATATATCCATCTTTTATACTGAACAATAAGACAATATCGTGACAGGCCTACCACTTGTGTTCAATTGTTTTGATTTTAAAGACCTGAATAAGCAGTGTTTTCAAATTGTCAAATAATTTTATGATAAATATTGTATCTCCTTTGAAATACTTCCTGTTGACATTGTCACAAAGCATTTCATTGTCCAACATTGGCTGTAATGTAGTCCTGCTAACAGCTTAAAATAGGCGTATGTTGTTATTGGCTTGCACTGGATTTTTCCTTCTGAGCCCCGTCCCTCTAGGTAACCACTATAGAGGTATTCAAGTACAAAGTCAGTGGTATGATGAGGTCTTTGGAGTAAGTTAATCCCTGGGAGGGGTTAATGGCTGGCAGCAGCAGATGGGCAGTGATCACTCTCTGTGGATCTCCCCGTTTTACACCAAAAACATACAACACACACAGCAGGAAGCACAACACGGGTTTAACAAGGACACAACTACTGCTCCGAAAATAAAGGCTGAGAACTTGTATTGCGTTTCAGCCTAAATGGAAATGGTACTTAGAATTAGAGAAGGCAATATCTCGCTCTCATTTTTTGGTAGCAACTGTAGATGAGAAATAGTGACTAAGATTTGAACAAAAGCACAGGTAGCTAAAAGGTTAAAGTGTTATTTTCACTAACTGTGTAGGTTGCCCATTTTTGAGTCGAGCTACAACAATGCTTTGAATTTCAATTGCACTTTACCAGATTGACAAGCTAAAGTGCCACAGCGGGACATTATTTTGTTACCATACTCACTGGTGTTAAGCATCTTCTGCACATGGCTGCTCCAAGAGGACACATGGCTGTCAGTTTGCGCCTACGGCCACTCTGATTTCAATCAAATCAACACATTCAAACAAAGACATGATGGGTGAAGTGTCTTGCCAATGACACAGCAGTAGTATATTGGTAGGATCTGCCATTTAAAACCACCAACCTTTGGGTTCATAGGCAAACACTGTATCCATCCATTTCATAAATAATAACAAGAATATGCATGAGAGGCTTGCGGGCAACAGACTCATCATACATCAACCATATGTACTAATGTCCTGTCTAGTGTGAGGGAGACAGGGTATTTAGAGAGGACCATTACATAACAAAGAAAACATGCCGACTCAAAATGCTGTAGTCGACATTTTTGAAGATTGAACCCACAACCTCACTGGAATAGACAATGTGCAGTGTGTGCAGCTATGAACACTGATATTATATACATACTTATTACAGCAGCTCACCTGTACTTATCACTAACTGGAGCTGGCCATGTTTGATTCCCTGCTTTCTCATATATTCCATGTCTAGTTACTATTCTCTCTTCCAATATTTTATGCTTTAATGTCTCTCCGTTGTTTTAGAAATAAGAACTCTTTTTGAATTCCAATGTAAAATACTGTCCATAACAAATACAGATGCACTGTTACACAGCTGGTTTTTGGCGTGCTCCCTTACCTCCTGCACCACTGCGATGATCAGATTAAACTGTGTCTGATGCCAAACAACAATAGAAACCCAGTGAGCAGATTAGCATCATTGCATCATGAATTATGCAAGATCAAGCATGCTCGATTCACTTTATCAAACAAAGGGGATTTGAAACACAGACAGACCTGCATCAAAAGTGCTCACGGTTGGGCCTTTTAATGAAGATGCCACATAAAAAATAGAAACCTTGTGATAGGCCTGTCATGTAAATTACTATAATGACGTCAGTATATGAAAGCTAGTACAATATTTTAGGGGGTCAGTATTTATCGTGCATACAAGTTCTCTGCACTACTGGAAAGTTTTTGGTTATTCCTTGGCTATACAATAAGATTAAGCTGTAAATGGTTGAAAGAATAACATCTATGACTCATTACAGATGCAAACTAAGTAGTAAAGTGTTTGCTGCTCATGATTTTTTAACAACATTTTATATTTAGAATAGTTTTTGTAGTTTAAATCTGCTTTTGGGTTACTGTGTCACTGGCGTAAATTCGTTTCTCATATTTACTTACAGCAATATGTCAATACTTCAAAATTTGCTATCATGACAAGCCTATCTTGTGAATCTTGTATATGTGTATGTTTGTGTACTTGCCTTTTTTAGTGATAATGATTCGGAGCAGTGGATTGGCTGAAGAGACTGCCTTGTGGAAGTTGTCGTCATTGTTGATTGGCAGGAGGTCTCCATGCACATCAGCGTAGCCCAGAATTACATCCACTCCTGGAATGCGGTGGATGGTCTGGAGCAGCCTGTAGAACTCCTGGAAGCCTCCTGGACCGTCCCTCTTAAGAGCAAACCTCCGATATTCTGCATCGAACTATCAAGGGTACAAAAACACAATAAATATACATGCAATGGCTAGACAAATAATCAAATCATATCTTGCTCAGCTTTTTAGTTACTTAGCATTAAATGTGCTTTGTGTGACTTTCTTGGTGGTGGGCCTGTTACCTGCTTGTGTGAGGTAAATCTGAAAAGTTATGTCGTGCACCTTTAAAATATGTTTAACAATCTGAGGCCAATGTTCATCTGTAATCAATCACAACAATAGCAGAGGTATTTGACAATTATCTTAAATATTCCAGCATGTGCAAACAAACCATAACTTTTTAATTAGTAGGTGTTGTATGTTATTATAGTTGAGGAGTGGAGTCCACTGCATTTTGCATTCACACATTTTTCGCAATTTAATAAGTTGGAAATTAATTAAAATGTTATGTGGTCTTTTATTTTCTATGTCATGATTCATGTTAAAGGGAATTCTTACTCAAACATTACACTGACTGCACAAATTTGAGGGACAAGAACTGAAACAACATGAGACTAAGTAGCAGTTCTCCCTGTTAGCGCCTGCATTGTCATTCAGTTTCAGTGACAGCTGATTAGAATAAGCTTGCCTTCTATCAGGCGAGTTAGGCAGTTTTCATCAGTTGTTCTACAACACACAGGCCTGTTTTGTAACAAAAATGAACAACTACTAGCATAAAATAAGCACAGTGTATGGGGGATGGAAATGCTAGTGAGCTGCATTAAACAGCCTGTGGTCTTCAACATCTGAGCGCATCAGATATGATTGTTCACATCACAATGGGAACACTAAGCCCACATCCCATGCTGTATTCCTAGAAATTCTTGATACAAGACAAACTTGTTGGCTCTTGCATGTATTTTTTAATTTTCATTTTATCTTGAGAACTCCTTAGTAATGAGCGCTTCAGATGAACACATTGTATTGTAGCCTGTCACTGCGCACAGTGAGTCCTTACAGTTTTATCACACACCACCATTTGAACTGAATGGCCACAGAAAAGCTAAGACGTAAGCTACAACAGGCTACACCATAGGCCATGTAAACACTACACAACAATACCGAGTTAGCTTGCCATAGCAGCATCAAACGCTGCCTAGTGATGAACCGTACACTGTATCCCCGCTGTTTACGGTCCCATAGCCCGGGCTGAGCTCTGGAGCAGGCTAGCGCATGCTTCAGGTCTCTCCATAATAACAGAGGCAGCGAGGTCGCTGGCATGTGGAACAGACGAAGCGCACTCACTTTGCTTTTGACCTCCACCAGGCTGTCGTGGACTCGGATGGGCGGCCGGTGCGGCTGCTGCTGCTGCTGTCTGGACATGGTGCTCCGGTTGGCCGCTTGGCTCCGACACTGCGGAGAATACAGCCGCCGTCACCGCCGCAGAGAGCTCTCTCTGCCCGCAGTCCCCTCCTCCAGCCGCGGGATCGGCACACGAACAATAACCCAAACAGAGACGGGGGGCGACGGGGACTGACACGGTGTAGATCTGCTGAATCCCTCGGTGAAACATCCAGGTGTGTGCTCTGCTTCTAGCTCTGTCCGCGAGACTGCGCTTACGGCACATGCGCGCGCACGCAGCGCCCGCGACAGGTGGAGTCCGGTAAATCCAGTCCGGCCGCCTCAGAGCCGCGTGTGGGATGTTGTCATCATCACCCGTGCGATACTGCGCTTATATTCAGTCAGTGATACAGTCAATGATACTGCCTACGGCTCGGGAGAAAGCATGACGTCTGCTTTGTTGTTATAATAAGATGTTTGGCCAACCTCAAAAATAATTAGTTAGGCTATTTATAAAACTACAGACAGCCAAACCCAAATGACAGGGTACACCGTGTAAGGATATAGGCTAAACCCAGTGGATATAACCATTTATTTTCAAAATGTGACATGTTAAGCCTATAAAAGACAGCAATTTAAACACAGACAATCATTTGGTCTATGTGTAGTAGGCCTATAGTTTAGGAATAGGTTAGAAACCTGAAGATGTTGCTTAGTTTTTGGTCATAAGCAACTAAAAGCTATACAATGCAGAATCTAAGCATCTGATATTAGGCTAAAAGAGCCATTTGAACCCTCTGCCTCTGTAGACATGAAATAGCAGCCCATCCTCCCTGAACCTCTCGCCCTGTTCACATCAGTACTGTACCAGCCCGTCCCAGGACTGTGTGTGAGAGAGAGATCCCTGCTTATGTAAAGGGTCCCATTACCAAAAACATGTAATCCTCCCAGATAAGAATACATTCCACTGGAAGAAAAACATCAAACTGAGAATGGCCTTCAGATGACTCCAGAATTCACTTTTTTTCCCAACTTTCTATCAATCATCTTTCCTGACACACAAAATAGAACATGAAGAAAGTACTGGTTCAGGAGCATGTTATGTTATGTTTACTAGTTTTTACATTTTACATACATACGTATATACATATACACTTACATTCATTCAAATATATGAATATTATGTAGCAAAAAAAGGCAAATGTTAATGTTTTAAAAATATTTTATATTCAAATTCTCAAAGTAGCCACCCTTTGCTTTGTCAAAAAATATTTAGTAGTGTTATTTAACTTTTTTCTTTACTACATAATTCCTATATCTTGATTCATATATTTCATGTCTTCTGTATGTAGGCCAATATAAAATGGAGGCATAGTAAACATAAAAAAAAAAAAAAAAAAACATTGAATGAGGTGTGTCTAAAAGTTTGACTGGTAGTGTGTAATTATGTCAACAGAGTTATTATTATTATTAATAGTCATTATTAAATGATTGTACTGAAAAATTTCAACACCATTAGGTCTACAAACTCTGTTAATCACAAAATATATTCCAAGTGTTTGTCATATTTGTTTGTTGATTAATATGAAAATGAAAATAAAACATGAACTTCTATTGTTTAAAAATCTGTGCTTCATTATCATTATGACATTGAGTACTGAGCTTTTTCCTATGGGATATTGACACAGCATACCGACATGCATCAAAAGAGATTAAAATATCTAAAATGTCTAAAATATCAAATTTGTGGTTCAGTGGCCCCAGCAGCCTACAGCATAAGCCCCACCCACAGTACACCGTAGAGTGTGAGAGATATGAGAGGAATGATGGGAGAGCACAAGGGGGAAGTGTCTCAATGAACAGGAATGTGAGCTATGTGAAGCCTTCCAGGTGATCTGTCATGTTCCTCTATTTAATGGAAATGTTTATCACTTCACTGGAAAACGTACCTGCGTTGTAGAAGTATATCCACCTAATTAAATGCCACCAGGTAAATGCCCCAATTTGTCACGATAACACATTTCTAAGCTCAGTATATTGCTATAGAGATATACTGCAATAAACAATAATATTGAAAATATTTTTTGCCTTTGATACAATAACAATAATGCAAGGCAGTCCCTGTAAATCATTCTTAAATATACAGTTTTGTTAAAAGGCCTGAGCTGCAGCAAGTAAAAACTTTTACAGCTCAAATGTTATTGTATCCTCACTTTTACAAAGAAAATGTACACATGGTAAAAATTTAGCCCCAAAAACATATTGTTCTATCTTTCATATATAGAACGATAAGTCGATAAGCATATTATTTACTGTGACAGGCCTACCCCCAGTAACTTAAATAATAGACCCAACATCAACTCAAATGTCTAATATTCAGTAATAAATTCTCAACTAACACAATATTATTAAAAACTTTAAATAATATAACTTGTACATGATAATTAGGGATGAATTTTAAACATTATCAACATTGGTATAAAAAATAGTTTTGGTGTACCATCATCCTTCCAGCCTCACTGAACTTTTGTCTAGTACCAATATTGTGACCAGTGTGGGTATAGCTGTTTATACTATGATAAGTGCATCTCAAATAGCTTGGTGAGGCTGTCTTTATTTAGTGGTGTGAGTCACAAGCCTGGATTTCTGTGCAAGGTGCGATAGACTGAGCAGCCTATGCATGTCTATAATGCCTGGTATTTTTGGCCTCTCGTCAGGGAGCTCTTTCATGTGTCTGGGTGTGACAGGTGTGCAGGCTGAACAACAGGTTTGAATATCTCTCAAGGTTTGCTTCTCTGATTTTTTCCTTTTTTCTGGCCCTCATCTAACAATACAGGGTGGCTCTTACAGTCACCCAGTCCAGTAAGAGCTGAGTGAGTCAGGTGTTGGGCCTGCATGCGCTCTGCACTCCACTCTGAAAGTTTTGATGGATTAATCATAAAGTGAATACTTTCAAACACCTTATAATTTTCTTAATACTTTAGTTGTCAAGCATTTTTAAAGTATCAATACAAAAAAGGACAGGAAAAAAACAAGAAGAGGGTGTAGCCTATATGAGGGTGCCACAAGCTCAACTGGCCAAGAAAGAAAAAACTAAATAAAAACATGATTTGAACATGAACGTTTTTTTAGATGACACCTCTTTGACAAAGATAACCAACACATGTTTATGTAATATCAGCAGCATAACAGTATAGCATTTACTATGTAAATGTTCTTTTGGATGTAAAAATACATTATTATAAATGTAAACAGCCCAAATACACATGACAGATTATTTTGACTGTGGTTTAACAATAAATTGCAGATTTAGTGCATGGTATTAATATGAGACTGGCCCTAGGATTCCGTAGAGGCGAAAGTATTCAATCAATATTATTTTGAAAAAATCATTCGTTTATTGTTCCAGACTTAAATTTCATGATTGCTCAGAGTGAAATGGTGCATGCCAGATTAGACACAGTAAAATACCTGAAGTGGGGAAATGGTGCAGCGTTGACACTCAGTGGCCGTAAAGGGGATTGCAGTTGGAGCTGTTTTAACCTGTAATGAAAGAGAAGAGTACACTTAAAATAACGACGAATTGTTATTAAAAGCATGTCCTGTATGTCTGTAGCATACCTTTAAATTGTAACTTTTCCATCCTCTGTCTGTATCGTGTCAAAATCCAGAGCAGGAGATCGTGCGCGTTCTCGCGAGATTTGTAAGTTTCCAAATCAACCTGTGGCGGGTTCTTACTGCAGAGGTTACAGATAATTTAATCGTGTTTATGTTTCTTTTCTTACAGAGTTGTCTTTATCCCCAAAACCACCACACTGTTTTCACTTCGTCCTGTGGATCATCGGGATGAATGACTCTTCACCACTGACTCATGAGTAAGAAGCCAGTCCAAAGTAAGTGTAGTAGCCTACCATAGATGTTTGGGAGTCAGTCCATCTTGTTTTCTATAATTAACCCCAGGGTTGTTATTGTCAATGCGTTCGTCCCTTGAACAATTAGTAATAATTTAGTGGCATGTTATGTGATTTTCATATTGACCACTTGGGGTCAGACTTGCACCAAATTCCTCTTTCCAGAAGGCTCATCTCCATTTGTAGTCTATGTTTGTTTGCTTTTCTACAGTAATTTAATCTATTAGGTATAGACTTGTGCCATGTATTAAAAAAAAAGCTTTACATATACTTTACATACTCACAATATTCTTCTGACCATCCAGGGTCCATGTTAAAGAGAAAAGTCAGTGCACCTCCACTAACTTGTGAAGTTGCAAAATATCACTCAGTGTTTCTAGATATTGACCTTATATAGTGCTTGCAGATGCTCAAACCTTTGTAATTTCACATTATTTTTGCACTATGTATTCATTCCATACTCTGTGGTGTTAAGCTACTTCTGAAGCCACAGCTGCTGTGAGGTAGACTGACTGATGCAAGACTGCCAATCTGCGACCACTTCTTAAACCACCAGTCACTCACTGACCATGTCATACTAGGCAAGACTTTGCGCTACAGCCACTGTTTTTCCATTGCGGCACCACCTGGTATTCTAACAACAGACATGCAGCTGCAGAGCATATCTCAAAATAACTGAGGATCTGTTTTATTTTTTTTTTTAGAGACAACATGTTATACTGTATGTGGGATGCCATAATGTTGGAGTCCAAAAAAAATAAAAAAAAATATATATATATATATATATATATATATATATATATGTTCTATATTGCACATAAAGTAATGATCCTCATTAACTGTGGTATTAAAGGGGCTTCACAATTTCACAGTCAGTCTGCAGATGTAAACTGACAATATTTAGAAGGCACCACACTGCTTCCTCTGCTCATTTTCAAAATACAAGTTGACTGTGTTTGATTTTAGCTGAGAGAAAGATCTGTGACTTCTCAAATTGTTGTAACTGAAAAAAGTCAGCATTTTGTTTAGAATAATTATATAGTCTTAAGATTATTTTAGAAAAGACAGATCAAGTGGAAGTCTATATTATATATAGGTCATTTCTTGTTCATTAATTTTGAGTTTCTAAGATATAAGATGTACCTTGGTTGCCTATGTGACAGGCTAGTTATAACTACTTAACTCTATTAGTGGACTCATTATTTTCAACTCAACATAGTGACTTTTTACTTAGATACCATAGATGATAAATAACTTTGTATTACTGTATTCTGTACTGCATATACATATTAGTATTACTGAATTGCTTTGTCCTTTTATTTTGAAGGCTCAGACGCTCCTTTATCTGAGTGTGGAGCAGAATGTGGCTGTTGACAGAAGCGCGAGGTGGAGCGGAGGATTGTGGAGTAACACACCCTAGTGGAGCATCACTCACCTGACGGAGACGCGCTGTACCAGGGACCAGGCACAAGGCACCAGCCTCACAGCCCAGAGCACACGAGCGCACCACCACTACAGCAGGTAAGTGCAATTACAATTTCATTATGGAAGTTTGGAGTGCATCAGGGACTTAACACATGCCACTCATATGTACCTCTTTAAATATGTATTCAGTTATGTGTTACTCTGATATTAATTTTCAATTGTTTTTAGAGTTGAATAAAACATCTTGCTTCTACTGTACTGTTTTAAATGAGTATGCATCTGCTGGGTGCTGTAGTAGGCAGACACAAAGAGGGGCAAATAGACAAGAAGTGAATGCAGAACCCCCTCACCTGAGTCCGGGTCTTGCGTAACTGTTCATTTCACTGGATAAATATTTGCATTTTAAAGATTGTAAAACTTTGGAGGCTGTTGCAGAATGCTTTGTTGTCTGAGAGCAGTATGTGTTTTGTGAGACTAATGAAGCTGCTATTTAAAGGTGCAATATGTAACTTCTTAGGTGCAGGGTCTGCTACTTGTTTGTCTCGGTGTAGATGTTATTTTTTTGCTTGGAATGTTCCACCGTAGGGCATTAAACATATCTCTCTTGCATTTATTCAGTTACCTTAAAAGACATGAATTTTTACCATGTACTGGCTTTGTTCTCCGTATATCTGAACTACCAACCAGTCTTGATTATGATTGCTAAATTTATTTTTATACTTTAGAATAATCAAGGCAAAACAGTAAAATTTCCATGGAGACCACCAGGTTGCAGACCTTCCACTAAAAAATTACACAGTGTACCTTTAGTGATAGCTAAAGGACTACATTGTTATGTTTCTCTAAAAATACTTGGCAATGATTAATGGCACAGGAATTGTTGTACAATTGTAAAATTATTTTAAAATATTTTCTTTCTTTCTGTTTTTAATCAGAATCTGTTGTAAAAGTCCATTGCATTCCACAGTAATATATGTTACGTGGAGAGTTGGACAAATTATGGGACCACAGTTAGCTTTTAATATTTGTGATGATGAGTAATGTAGCCTGTTGGAGTATCATCAAGTTTTGTAAAGGGCATTTGATCTAAGCAAATGTTGTAGTACCGAGTGAAGCATTTGTAGAAACATGACATTTCAAATATCAAAAGTCCCATCTCCAAACCTGAGCTGTTGTGAGCGAGAGTGTGTGTGTTTGTGTGTGTCTGCGTGTATCTGTAAGAGTGTGTATGTGTGTGTGTGTCTGAGTCCGTGTGTGTGTGCGTGTATGTTTGTGTGGTTGCAAAACGTGGTTCAATAGACATGCCTTCAGTGGTGCAGCTTACCCCCAAGTGATTCACCAGCGCAGTACAAATAGAATGATACAAACGTGTTGACGCAGAGGTGCGTATAAAATGTAGACTAAAATGAATACGCTCTGATTGATGGCCGAAATGTGCACCTAAATTATTTCCCATTTTGTGTCCACTGGAATTTATTAAAGGCAGCCCCCTGAGGAAAGCCCAGTGTGTGGCTGAGGTTCTGGGGCAGTTCAGATGAGCAAATAGTAACACTTTTGGAGAAATGCACTGTTAATTAGACTGCTGCACCTCCAACAGCCTGGGACTTTTTACATCGAAAAACAAATGCCCAATTAAATCCATGCAAGCCCCAAAAGGTGTAACTTTGAATCACATTTTGCTGTACAGGCTTCTACTTAAAATATCCATAGAGAGCTGGTTATACTACTTATAATGGTCTACTGTTTAGACTTGTTTGTCTGAATTTTTAAAGTGTTTGGAGCACAAACAGTTAAACTACCTTTTTATTTCCCCGAGGGGCAGTTTGTGTTTATAATGGAAAATGTTTTACAAAGACGAGGATAACAGCTCTTTCAAAAACTAAACACATTTATTGGTGCTGGAGAATTTTTGCTTCCACTTGCTAATGACAAACACAACTTTGAGCTTACAATTTTTTTTTAATAATTCAGGGATCAAAAGTTTGATTTTGGAACCTCTCACCATGGCGACTTGGACCATTTTACTAAAGGTGGCATATTATGTTATTTTCTGATTAATGTTGTTTCCTCATCAGAAACATACAATCCTACATAATTAGGCTGTGTTCTCCCTGAAATGATCAATCTCTATTAAACTACTAAAGTTAAAAGGTAGCTTTTATCTAAAACTACAGCTTGATGACATCACAAGGTTGAACAAATTATTTAGATCCTAATAATCCAGAATTAATCAAACATGTGTGAATGAAACAAAACACAACTTCAGGTATGTTTCTGATGATGTAACATTATAACATGGCTTAAAGTTCACAGGAGTCAATATAATTATAATATATGACTTTAATTTTTGTGCATGATTGACCTTTCTGTTATCTGAAAAACATTGAACCTTCAAACAACCCAGGATTCACCTATTTAGTTATTCAGTGACTGTAACTTAGCGTGAAGTCGCTAGGAGGCATTGTTATAGCATAATGACACTATAAACCGAAGGCACATTTCAGTATTTTGTTTTCAGAAAATATTATGTTAATATAGACTTAAGCTGGTTTGCTGTCTAATGAGCCCAGGAGTGCACCATTACTGTTGTTAGTCACAGTACGTGCCTCCGACTACTTAACATGCTCATTAAAATACAGCTTATTAATGCCACACTGAAGTGGATTAAAGCTTCACTTAAAACTGTTTCAGTCTTGACTTTCAATGTTCAAGAATTACAAGATCATCCGTCCTAGTGGTAGCCCCCTTGCTCTGTGTGACTGTGCTGTGCTGGGGCTCTCTGATCATTCAGCTTCTTATGAAACACTTTCTTATTCAATGAACAAAATATGAAACAGGCATATTAAAGGTGCACTATGTAACTTTTTGTTTGGGGGTCTGTCACTTGCTTTTTTTCTATGAATATGTCATTGCTCTACCTGGAATGTTCCACAGTATGAAATTAAACAGCTCCTTCCTTACATTTACCTAGATATACCTAAAAAAAAAACAGGCGGCGTTCTGATTGTAAGCACACGCTTTTTCACAGATCTAACCTGTAACTTGGTCTGGTTTGGTTGCCATGAAGATACAGTAGAAAGGTTTAATACCATACTTGAAACATTCCAAACAAAGCATGGGCCCTTCACTAGAACAGTTACACAATGGACCTTTAGAGCAGGATACATTCTTTTTTAATACACTACCAGGCTTCTGGGTTACAAACCGGATTTCACATATTTTTAAAAATGGATAAAAGCGCTCACGAGATTTAGACTTAAACTTAGACAAACTTTATTGATCCACAAGGGAAATGATTCAGACGCATTAGCTCACACATCACAATATATTATAATAACAAAGAGCAAAAAAATATAAATGGTAACCGAAAATAAAAAAACAAAAATAGGAAGAGACAGGTGTCAAATAAGGCATAATTATATGCATATGTTCAAGTAAAAATAAAATATAGAAATATAGTAATGCAAATATATCTCTATATACAAGAGGTCATAAGGAGAATTGGTGCAAAGCTAAAATAATGATTGACAGGGCATAGGGTTATCTGTTACATAAAGGTAAGTTGTTGAGCTTTATGGAGTATGGTATGACTATAGTCCTGTATCTCTCATTGTTTATACAATGCTAGAAAAAACTGTATATACAAACTAAAAAAAACTAAAACAGCTGAAAGTCCAATAGCTCAGTTAATATTTATGCTAAACTATTCGGAAATGAGATCTCTGACTTATTTTTGGCTGACTAAATTCTTGTGCTTATGTAAATGTATTGTGTAAATGCTGATCTGTCTCAGCCATCACTTTCTTGAAAAAAAGATTAGCAATATCAATAGGATGTTAAATTTGGTTAAATAAAGGTAAAAAAAAAAATAATAATAATAATGTAAAAAGCCTTCCTTAGACTAAAAAATAGGGGTGGGATGAGACAGAATTCCCACAAGATGAGACTCAAGATAAGGTACACAAGATCAAGACAAGGTGATTTTGCTCTAAAGTACTCTAAATTATAATAAATACATGGTGTCATTCAGTTCACAGTTTTGACCTTTACATTTTTAAAATACATTTTATTGAGTGCTTTTGCTGTCATTGTAGCGCTACTGTTTGGAACTATGGCTTGTCAAAATGTTAACTCACCAGCATTTCACCCTTTTTTGTTCAATACAAAGGCAAACACTTGGAGAAAAATCTCATCAGAAAGATCATTTTTCTCATGAATGCGAAATCTTGTCCCATCCCTACTAAAAAAGCTTTATTCCTTACAGACAGAGTAGCTGAATTAAACTTGTATAAAACACATTCACAGACACTGTCCAATGCCCTTGAGTGAAGTGTCTCTATTTACTGTGTGTCTCTTTAAAATGTAAGCAGCTTCTTTAGAGTACTCAATTGTATTAAAGGTGCGTTTTTTCCACTTTTGTGGTGGAGGGTCCCTCAAATGCTTTTCTCCATGGAGATCTTATTGCTTTGTCTGAAATGTCCCACAGTATGGTGTTAAACCTTTCTGTCATCATGGAAACCAAACTAGACCATGTTACTGGTCAGATCTGTGGATATGTGACCCCATTCAGTCTGAATGCCTGTTTTTCTAGGTATTTTTGAGCTATAAACCCACCTGTAGTTGAATACATGTATGGTAGATTTGTGTCATATTGTGGACGATTCGAAGCAGAGCAATGACATATCCATAGAAACAAGAAGGTGACGGATCCCCATCAGAGAAGTGACATGGTGCACCTTTTAAGCAGAATGACATGTTCACAGTGACTCATTGTCACACGTTAACATGTAATTTACAGTATAGATTGTGTTTAAGTCCAGCAGCTTTAGAAAACAGTCACGAGTCTACCACCGCACCAATCAGACAGCTCTACGTCTAATCTTATCCTATTGTGAAGTCTATCCCTTTGCTTGTTCTAATAACAGACTTCATTTTCTCATTGCAGGTGACACGGTGAGGGCCACTTAAGTGCAAATGGTGCAAGGAGCATAATTCAGTGACCTATTACTGTCTACCCCACATTAACCACAGGGAGGACAGTATTGCTGACACAGAAGAAGAAAATTACTGTGAATGCAACAAAGCACCCATTAGTCCTGATAAATTACCCTTAGCCTAATTTAAGATGTTGAATAGCTCATTAGGAAGATTGATCAATAGAGTGGGAAATTGCTCCAAAATCTGATTATGTGAAAGTTTAGAAGGAGTGGAGGCTGTAGGTGGAGTACTGTAGATTCCACATTTGAAAATAATTTACCTTTAAAGTGAAGTGTACTGTATTGTTCTTCATTCACATAATTTTATAAACATGACCTTTTCCAAAGTGCTGCACAGACAAATTAAGTTCATAAAAGAGAGTAAATCAGAAATAAAAACAACAAATAAAAAGGATTAAAAAGTAATTTATGTATTAAACTCAAGGCCATTTGACTAATAATTTTTAAGATCCTCTCCTTTGTAATTTCTCGCTACGGTGCTGTATAATGTAACCTGTAGACATGACTGACAACGCAGACACCCCAACCAACATCTCCCTTAGCCCCAGTGTGAGTGAATCTCTGGAGTACAAGACTGTGTCCGTGTTTCTGGTCCTGCTGGTATGTGGTGTAGGCATAGTGGGGAACATTATGGTTGTCATGGTAGTCTTCACCACCCGCCACATGAGGACCCCCACAAACTGTTACTTGGTGAGCCTGGCCATAGCGGACCTCACGGTGCTGGTGGCGGCCGGATTGCCCAACGTGGCGGACAGTCTGACGGGGACGTGGGTGTTTGGACACGCTGGCTGTTTGGGCATCACCTACCTGCAGTATCTGGGGATTAATGTGTCATCATGCTCCATCACTGCGTTCACTGTGGAGAGGTCAGTGTCACTTTTTTACAATGGTTGTTTTAAAAGCATGCAAAAATACTTTTATATTGAGTGTATTTTTACATAAAGTGTAAATGAGGCTAAACATAGGACAAGATATTTAATATAAACTTTCAAACACTGGTATTCATTGTTTTTTCTGTATTTTTATTTTAATAATTTGATACCACTTTATAATAACTACACCAAGATTGATCTTAATAAAGCATAAACAAAGTGAATACATAATTTATAATTTAATTTATAAGAATAATTCAGACATAATACCAACAAAATATAATGGGATTATGAATACTTATGATCTCTATTAGTATAATAGGGAAAAAAAGACAGCATTGCCCTCATAATATGGTGTAATCCGGTGTTTTTAATGGAAAAACTGTAACTGTAAGTCTGTGTTAACATGTGTGACTAGAATAGATTAAATCAGCCTGGCTATATAGTAAATTTATTTAAAAGCCAACCATTCATTTCTAATGAGGCTGGAAAATGGACTATTGCCTGTGTAATGCCATAATATGGAACATTCCAGGCAAAGCAATTCTCCTGACCTCCACCAGAAATGATACATATAGTGCACCTTTAATTTGTATAATTTTCATAAGGGCTCCACACCAGAATTGATTACAGATTTACCTGCTCATTCTATTCATATTCAGAGGCTACTTTTGCTGCTGCACACACTGTCATTACATGGAATTCTCCAGAGTCAAGTTAAATTAGCGCTTTGACCTTTTGCAGTTAACAGTGACCACTTTAGTTAATGTGAGCTTCCACAGCCCAGAGCTTCAGCCAGACACAACTGCAGCCCTTTTATTTAAAACATTGTTCCGGAAATAAATAGAAAGAACAAGGCTGTCAGATTTGCTCCATTTTATTTCAGAAATGCATCGTTATAAAGTCGCAATTTTGAAAGTCTCAAATTAACTCAATTGTGTTTGGGAGACAATCAGAGTATAGCCTCAAAACTTCTCCTGGTTCTGTGGTTATTGGTCAGAATTTGTCAAAATCGACCCAAATACAAGAATAGTATTGAACTGAACTGACTGTGGCTTTACCAGATGGAGAGCTGGGCATTTGGTGTCTCATATAATTGTACATACTACATAGGTTTCAGTTTTGTGTTATTTTCCTGACATTTTTTCATGATTTGAAAGATATAATATTTTGTGGTACATTTTTTATTGTATTCCTAATATATATATTTTTGGATTGTCATTATGCTTGTTCTTTCCAGTACATTGTTTTAATTGAACAATGACTATATTTTGCATTTTCATAACAAATGAGTAACAATCGGGTTTACTCCTTTGCCCACGACTAAAAGAATAATAGCTGACCTTTAGACCACTTGTATTGTAAACCAATTACTGTGATGTTTTCCCTTGTTGAGGCTGATTATTGCGTTATTTGTCCCTGAGCAGATAGTTTAAGTGCTTATTTGGTGCATTAGCAAAACTCTATTCACACTGAAATAATAGAGTGGCCCTGAAAAGCTTGATGACAAACTTTATGAAAGAAATTCTTCTATTGTGAGTCATATTTCAAAATATGAAGTGGGAGGAACACTGCAATAAGATCATCTACATAAGAGAAAGTGACTTGAATTATTAGTATACTAGTGTTACTTTAAAATATACTTATTTGAGGCTTACATTATTCGATTTGTAGTAATTCGAATTTAAGGATTTTGTCTTATTCCAATAGTTTGTTTTCTGAATATTTCTTTCTCCTTTGTAACAGTTTGAGACAAGTCTAATTAGTAAAAAAAAAAAAAAAAAAAAATCAAATTAAAGGAACTGTTTGTGTGCAGAGAGTTCTTTTAGGTTTAAAACAGCAGGATTTTAGCAATAAAACAGGCAACCCAAATGAGAGACTCACATAAGGCTCATTCTCCTTTCTGAGAACTAAAACACCACCAATTTTAACATAGACGGTGTGGTTTCCTTGTATCCAGGGACAGGGATGTGGCATGTGTGTGGAATTTTGTATAATTTTGTACCTAATTCAGTCATCTTCACTAATATGTTTATTTTTAGAAGTGAACACAATTTGTTATTTGCCTCCTCACCGACAGATACATTGCCATCTGCCACCCCATAAAGGCTCAGACCGTGTGCACTGTATCGCGGGCCAAGAAGATCATAGCGGGTGTCTGGATCTTCACCTGTATCTACTGCATGTTGTGGTTCTTCCTGGTGGACATTCAGGTCAGTGTTTTAGAGCAGAATGCCAAATATGTAAAGATGTTAATCTGGTTTTAAACAGGGCCTCTGTTGTGATGCGCAGGTGGGTCAGGACGGACACGTGCAGTGTGGCTACAGGGTGAAGCGCGACCTCTATCTGCCCATCTACCTCATCGACTTTGCCATTTTCTACGTCATCCCTTTGCTGCTGGCCATTGTGCTTTACGGTCTGATAGCACGCATCCTCTACCTCAGGTAAGTGCATCTGGACTTGAGCACATGGGAGAGAGGACTCACTGGACCTTTCCACATGAGCTGCCCTTAATCTGTCCAAAGTATTTCTGCTGGATATACTAAACTATATACATTTTTATTTATTCATGTCTAACCACAGAGTGGACCATAATGTACATAAGAATAGTGACAAATATGGATGTATGATTGTATTACAGACTTTTGAACCAAAACCGTACTTTGTACTGGCCAGTCTCGTCGTATACCTTGATGAACTGCTAATTCTGGCAGAGTCTTCACTTAAGTTTGGTAGAGTGCATGCACTACATTTGATTAGCAACATAGTGTTTAAGTTCAAGTAGTATTTTATAGTACTTGGGGCCATACCGGCGTGTCAAAGTCTGATCTCATTAGATCTCAGAAGCTAAGCAAGGCCAGGCCTAGTTAGTACTTGGATGGGAGACAGCTGGGAATATCAGGTGCTAGAGTGGGGTGCCAATATCAACAGCTGTTGTTGTGTCCTTAGGCAAGACACTTCACTCACAAAGTATGAATGTGAATGTTGGTGGTGTTCTAGAGGGGCCAATGTCACAGATTGGCCGCCTCACTTCTCTCAGTCTGCCCCAGGGCACATGTGACTACAGTAGTAGCTTATCAGTGTGGACTGTGGAGTAAATGAGCAATGCATTGTAAAGCTCTTTGGATGTCTTGAAAGACACTATATAAATCCAATGCATTATTATTACTTTTCTGGCACTTTTATTAAACAGGCTCTAATAGTAGTGAAGAGTGCAATTGTGAGCAAGTGGTGGACGAATTAACAACTGGTGGACGAATTAACAACTGTTTGACAATTCTGACATGTGCATTTATGCTTCATGGTAATGTAATCCTGATAAGACTTCCCTCATATACTCAAAGTTTATTTAACTGAGATTAAATGAACTGAAGCGCCAAGAAAAGAAGCTTTGTCATGTTTGGTTACCCTTCAGGTTATTTGGCTAAAATCCCTAAATCCTCTAAAGTCTCAGTGATGAGAGTTTAACACTGTGGGATTACTAATAATATTCAGCCAGAGGTGACATTTGTGTTATGTTCCAGCTCCCTGCCCAATCACCCTGATGCCAGTGCCACCACCCTGCGCCGCAGCTGTAGAGAGGGTCCCGACAGCAGCGGGGGCAAAGGGGGGCGTCCCATCCGCTCTGGGCACTCTTCCAGGAAACAGGTTAGTGCTCCAGGCCCATTTACCCTGTGTGTCAACCTGGTCTTATCTCTCCAATACCTGCCTGTTTACCTGGGTTCTTATATATGGCGTTCTTGACCCGGGTCTTATATATGTGTGTATAGGCTGATGATGTCCTACTATCCAAAGCCTCAGCAAAGTGCCCTCTTGGTGGCTGTCTGTCCCCCGTTACGAGCCCTGGAGGTAATTGGGTTGGTAATGGCTTCTTTGAACAGAGAAAAAAAACACTTCTTTGCTGAGATTGCTCCAGGCTCTTGAGTCTGCAATACACTTGGGGCACTTTGCTCTTCAAATGTTTATTTTCATAAGCATTTAACCACTCAAACATATTATCACCATATTTCAAATCTGACACAAGATGGCAATAGCTGTTTCTCAGTGATGTTGATGTTTTCATTATTTTGTTGTCAGATACTGGCCCCTCTCTTGAGTGTGTTTGAAAGCTTTGCATCAGGACAGGTTGTTCTTTTGTGGAGGAAACCAAAATGGAAAAAAAAAAACTTCTGCTCATGAAATAGTATAGTAGTTTGAGACTCTTATTTGGCTGTTGTATTTTTCAATTTAGACTTCAATTTTGAAAATCAATCAACTTGTGTGCATCAACGACCAAAATTACACAATTTCAAGGGACATGATAACTGCATAATTGACGTTAAATGAACCAAAAGAAAAACAGATGCCACAGTTACCTTTGCTATTGCCCAGCCATGCATTTGCTTTCCTTTTCAGAATTTCAATGATGATAATAACCCACTGAGCACAGCAGATGGCAAATGTTATATCAACTTCTCCATAACAAAACAACTTTTAGCTCAAATTCAGCACAATTAGATAAATCTGTGTTTCTCAGGCGTAGGGAGAACCTCATTCTCTCATCTAAGAAATATGGTAAAAATCTGAACTCTTTCTCCGATTCTGAGAATGGCTCACACATTAATCTGTAGTAAAATATACTATTGTAACTCTTTATTCTCTGGACTACTCAAAAAATCTATAAACAAGTTTCAACTCATGCATTGTGCTGCAGCCAGAGTTCTAACAAAAACGAAACTATCCCAACAAACTTCTCATTCTGTTATCTCACCAGTTAAGAAAATAATACATTTTAGAAATAAAATCATGACTTATCTCAGCTCCCATATACCCCACAAAAGTACTGACTGAATACCATCCACTACCCCACCTGACATTATCAAACCAAAGACTCCTCCTTCCAACGATCAACTCAAGAACTACTTATAGAGCATTCAACCACTATGGGCCCATAGTGTTTGAATGCTCTATAAGTAGGCAACCACTATGGATGCATTTTATGGATCTCTGCCACTTCTCCAACTCTATGTGTTCAAAAAGAAACTTGCGTAATATACACACAAATGCAAATAATAATTAGTATTTTTCCATGCTGTATAATTGTTGTGATGCAACCCATGTGGTTTCCCTGCTCTGAATCCAATTCAGTCCACTTTAATTATATAGCACATTTCATAAACAGTTTCCAAAGTGCTGCACAAATACAGAATAATAACAACAATAATAAAATGATAAAATAAATGCTCAGATTTAATCATACTAGTCTTAAAATAATAAAACCAGTAAAATAAAATAAGAGCAAAATCATAGAATAGCAATAAATAAATAAAACCAATAAAATACATTAAAAATAAATAAAAGACACATAAGAAAAGTGCTAATAAACAAACAAACCAATAAACAAATTTGCACTTATAATGTCAAATTTCTCTGCCACTTGTTTGTCTCCATGGAGATACTGTTTTGCATGTCTGTCTTGCACTTATCTTATTTTCATTCTTATAGGATTGCCTCTCCACAGACTTGACCTGTAACTTGGTCTGGAGGCATCACCTGCTTGTCTCCATGGAGATGGTTTAGTTAATTAATACCCTACTATGGAATGTTCTAGGCAAAACAGTGACTTACAGTGAGACCAGTCCAAAAACCCTCCACCCAAACAGTTACATAGTGCACCTTTAAATCAAATATTTAATTAAAATGTATAATGTATTTTTAAAAACATGGCTACTAATATATTTGTGTCAGTGCAATGTGCCTATAAATAAATGTGTCGTATTCAACATCTAACATTGATTTTAACATGGATCTCAGCACTCAATACTTGATGCCTGCAGCCACTAGTCACCACTTGCAGATGAAAACTTTGCATGCATAATACACAGCAGACTCAATCTCCAAATGTTATCTATTCTTCTCTTTCTTTGGGACACAATTACTTTGAACAATAAGTGCTCACATACAATAGCCCTGAGTGATTATAAAACCACTGGGTTAGTATTGATATTAAGGCTTCATGACAGGCTTCAGAAAAATGCCCTTGTAGGTTTTATTACATCTGTGTGCTCTTTGTTTTAGAGATAGGAGTCCAGGCAGATACAGGTGATAGAGGAATGATACAGGAGCTACATAATGGCCCTGTAGCACTATTCACTGCTGTGATATTGCTCAGGTTGATAAAGTTTTGTATTCCCTTCATACAACAGAGATTCTCATAAAATAGCCACCCCTTCCCTCCTTCGTGGTCCAGCACACATGACAAAGAGCTTTGAGAGAATTACAAAAGCCATAGATGCCATAGTATTGGAAAGACAGGTTAGCACAACAGTGGTCTTCTCTGCTCAGACCATCAAATGTACCAGTCGACCATTTGATTTTGTCTGAAGCTCAAACTCAAGCTGTGACCACAAAAGCATAAAGCATGGCGGACGTCTAATAAGATGTGATGTGAAGAAGAGCAGAAGAACAGAATACACACGTGCCCATTCCACCCAAAGCTCCAGTATTGATCTATATACAGTACCATGCTGCTTTCACGTGAGCTCCGTAGTTTATTTTTCATCTTCAGTTTTATTTTTTCACCATTGCAGCTAGATCAGGTTTTGTCTAAAGTTTTACTGTTTCTATAGTTTTACTATTATATAAACTCAAAAGGTGCCCCAACAGTGAATATGCATTATTTACATTAAAGGTACACTGTGTAACATTTCTAGTAGAGGGTTCGGAAATATTGTTGCATTGTCTAGAATGTTCCACAGTATAGATTACACCCATCTTTCACAAGGGAGACAACCAGCTTACAGCACTATGCTACATTACAGTTCAGATCTGTGGAGAGGCGCTCCTAATGACAGAAGGAATTGTTGTATTTTTGAGCAATAGAAACACACGTAATGAAGAAATAGTTGGCTATGTTTAATGCCATACCATGGAACATTCCAGGCAAAGCAATAACATCTCCGTGGACACAAGCAGGTGGTGGACCATCCACCAGAAAAGTTTAGACATGTATGACCTGAAAGAGCTTATTTGGTAAAAACTAGTCATTTTAAAAACTCAAATGCAGTTGCTTTACCTAAATGTACAAAAATGTTTAATTCAGATGAAAAAAATAGCAATTAATTAAATCAATTATCCATTTGAATTAGTTTGTAGAGGCCCAGACTTATTCCTCACAGCATCCTAAAATGCACTGTGATGAGTTTGTGAGCGCGCTTCCCAACTTTCAGAGCCCAGAGTGGAATTTTGCTCTCATGCCTCTGCTAACAACTAGCATGCACATTGCACCACTGTCACTTCCTGGTTCATGCATGATGTAACACTTTATCATTATAGAGCACACATCTAAGAGCTGCTTTTACAATATATGAACTGGAACAACACAAATCTTACTTGTTGTATGAAAAACTTTGGAACAGCCCCTTTAAGTGCCCTATACTAATTCTTGTGAGCTTTAAACTGTCATTACCTCAAGAAAAACATACCTGGAGTTGTGTTTTGTTTCATTCAGACAGGCATTTTCGAGTAATCCTGGTTTCTTAGTTTTTCCACATCTCTAAAGCTCAAAATGCTCCGTTCCACCTTGTGATGTCATGAAACTATACTTTTCAATAACAGTTAGCTTTTACCTTTTGTTTAGAGATTGTCATTTCCAGGGCTGAAATAATCCAAATGATTCTAGTGAGGTGTATGAAGTTTAAAAACACAGTGGAGTGTTTTCAGTTTGAGAGAAGAACTCAGCGTAAATATAAGCAGGGTTTGTGTTTGTGATGAGGAAACAACATTATAACAAAAAAGACTTGGACTTGCAAAAAGTCACTGCTACTCTTCAGGAAAAGGACAAGCAACAAGAAGAAGAAGTTATCACACATAAGGGGCTCCCGCACCTGTATAAATCTACAATACAGGAAAATGTGCATTTAAAACAAGAGCTTGCCAACTACAAAAAAGTCATGGAAAAGACTAATAAAAAAGACTTGGACTTGCAAAAACTTAGTGCTACTCTTCAGAAGAAGGACAAGTTAATGCACATTATGAGATCTGGTACTTGTATAATGCTACAGTACAGAAAAATGTGCATCTACAACAACAAGAGCTTGCCAACTCCACAAAAGCCCCATCGAAACACCAAAAAAGACAAACGAAAAAGACTTGGAGTTGAAAGCGCTCAAAGCTACTCTCCTGAAGAAAGATAAGGTTAGTGCATGCAAGGAGATAAGATCTCTCTATAACAATACAGTGAGAGACAATGTCCAGCTCAGAGAGCTAGCCAACATTAGTAGAGTCCATGAGAAGATGAAAGAAATATTCAAAGCACCTATAATGGACACTCAAACCACTTGTACTGATGTTGGTGGAGATCTAACCAACAAAGAAAATGAGAAACTGTCCAGGAAGGTGCAGGAACTGTCTTGTGAACTTTTTCAGCACAAGAGGAACTGAACTCTCCTGAAGATTCGTTGAGAAAGTGAAAGGGCACAGCCATCCAACCGCCCAAAAGGTCAATGGTCACCGTGATCCAGCTGCCCAAAAGGAGAGGCCGAAGTGGAGGTGCAGAGGAAGGCGCGCAGGCGTCAACAGCACTAAAGCACCTCCAGCCATTACCCTTTACCCTTGCATTATAAAAAAAAAAAAAAATTCAAAAAAAAAAAAAAAAAAAAAAAATTAAT